TCTTTTTACACACTAGTGTATGAAATATTTAAATTTGGTAGATATGCAAGCTTGTTCTGTATGTTTTCTGACTGAAAATAACCTCTGTGTATTCCAAACTATTTAGAATCAATACTTAATTTGCGGCAGGGAGGTGACAACAGGATTTTATTAATAAACTGTTGCATGAGTCTTAAAGACATCCAAAATCAGGGACCAAAAAGTGGTCTTAATCTATCTTGTCCAAATTTCTAAGCAATGTCGTATATCTACATTCTTTTTCATCATTAATTCATTAAATTTGAGAGTGATAGGATTTTAACATTATCTATTTTGTAGAAACAGTTTTCTGTTATTTTCATAAATTCATTGAATTCGAAATTGTAAGGTTATATATCTATTACCGAGAAATAATTTCTGTCATATGAAAAATACTGAATTCCATAACAGAATGGAATTTATCCCTAAAAGTGTTACAATTGCAAATGGTACACATTTTAAAATTTCTATCAAAATTATTTCATCTACTTGGCAAATGATGATAACATGTTCGTAAGTTTGTTAGTACAACTCTTATGATAAATCTTTTGGTAAAATCAGCAGACAATTTTAGAAAACAATGTTTGTTAAACAAGAGGCCCATGGGCCTTATAGGTCACCTGAGCATCATGCAACAACTTTCCAACGATTGAACTTGGTTTATATTTTAAATAGACATCATGGCATTCACAATTTTGAAAGAGGCACCATTGCTAATCATAACTATACAGTTAGCATGTTTAGTTTGGTTACTTAATACCCATAGACAGAGTAGGGGAACAAAAAAATGCATTTCAACTAATCAGTAATATTCAGCAATAATCAGTAGTGCCGCTGCCACACATGACCTTTGGTCCACAAATTTCACAATTTTGTAAAGGAGCAGATTTCAAACAATTAATTCATTTTCAGTATATAAATAGACCCCCCCTTCTATGTTACCCCTGACGCAGGGGCCATAAAATTCACAATTCAGGAAGAATGGCCCTTGCTCATCATAGCTTTATATTAGGTAGTTCAACTGCTAAATACCCAGGAGCAGAGAAGAAAATTTTCAAAGATTTAATGTATTTTCACTATATAATTAATAGAACCCGGACCTAACAGCAGAACCCCTGACCCTGGAGCCATAAAATTTACAATTTTGGAAGAGGCATTCTTCCCCATCATAACTACATACTTACTTGGTTTATCTAATGCCCAGGAGAAGAGCATATTTTCAAAGAATTAATGTATTTTCACTATCTAATCAATAGAGCCCCAACCTAAACCAGAACCCCTGACCCTAGGACCAGTAAATTCACAATTTTGGAAAAGGCATTCTTCCTAATCATAACTATGTACTTAGTTAGTTTAATTAATACCTAGAAGAAGAGAAGAAGATTTTTAAAGAAATAATGCATTTTCAGTATATAATCAATAGAGCCCTGCACTATCTAAACCCCTGACCCTGGGGCCATGAATTTCACAATTTTGGTAGAGGACTCAATGATCATTACAATCATGCTAACAGTTTGACTGCTTGATGTCCAGGAGTAAAGAAGAAGATTGCATTAGTTTTAGTGGTTTTAGCCACATCCCTCAGGCCCCAGGGAGGCAGGGACCATGAAATTCACAATTTTTGTTCCCCTTTACCCATAAATGCTTTATTAAATATGGTGGAAATTGGTTGAGTGGTTGCAGAGAAGAAGCTAAAAATGTTCAAAAGTTTACGACGAATTGACGACGAACGACGTACGACGGACGACAACGGATGAACACAGATAGCAATAGGTCACCTGAGTGACTTAGGTCACTCACCTGAATGACACAGGTGACCTAAATATCTATAATTAATAAACTTGATGAACTATTAAAAATTCTTCTCCAGTTTTGTTCAAATTCTTTTTGAGGTTTCTTTAATAATCGACTGTCCATATCTAGGACAACCCATAAGAATTTAGCATATCTTGTACATGTTTTATTCATTGATGAAAAGACGTATCTTGATATATGTATAATACCTATAAAATATGAACAAGAAAACATTGATGTAGTCATCAATTAATGATAAGCAACTTTATATATTAATATGAAAAACATATATTTACAGAGCAGCCCGGCCCTGTGGGCTGCAATAAATCAAGGTTAAGAACAAATTTTTAGAAATTTTAAGCGTACTTTTCTGTTATGTCTCAACTCTCATATCCCCAAACTTCATAAGAATGAATTAAAATTGGTTGATCAAACTTTATCAAACTAGTCTAGCTGACTAATTATCTTGTTGCATTTTTTAGTTTTTCAGTTTTTGACAGGAATATACGACGGCGTATTAGTGCCATTTTAACAATGTAGATTTTTTTTTTTAAATCGTTTGCACGATTTAATAAAAATGTTTGAACGATTAAGTAAATCGTTTGTACGATTTAATAAATCGTTTGTACGATTTAGTAAATCGTTTGTACGACTTAATAAATCGTTTGTACAATTTAATAAATCGTTTGTACAATTTGTTTGTTAAATCGTTTGTACAATTTATTAAATCGTTTGTACAATTTAATAAATCATTTGTACGATTTATTAAATCGTTTGTACGATTTAATAAATCGTTTGTACGATTTAATAAATCGTTTGTACGATTTAATAAATCGTTTGTACAATTTAGTAAATCGTTTGTGCAATTTAGTAAATCGTTTGTACAATTTAATAAATCGTTTGTACAATTTGTTTGTTAAATCGTTTGTACAATTTATTAAATCGTTTGTACAATTTAGTAAATCGTTTGTACGATTTAATAAATCGTTTGTACGATTTAATAAATCGTTTGTACAATTTAGTAAATCGTTTGTACAATTCAATAAATCGTACAAACGATTTGTTAAATCGTACAAACGATTTATTAAATCGTACAAACGATTAAAAAAAAAAAATTCTCCATTGTTAAAATGGCACTAATACGCCGTCGTAGGAATAAACCAAAGTAACAGAATTCTTTCAAATTTTCAATAGCATATAAAAAAATACGTTTCGTTATTGGACTTTAAGAAAGAATAAGGAATTTTAATTGTTGTGGCTACATGTATGTTTACACGAAGTTTCCATATATATCAGTATTCAGCAAGCACACCTAGTGACTTTTGTTAATCAGACATTAGGACCGTTTGTTTTCGCTCCCGAATTGTGTTGTTACATGTATTCATTTTATACATAACTGCAAAATTCGTCGATTTCTGCAAATACATGTACATGTATTGATACTAGTACTTTAAAAACTTAAACTGTGATATTTTTTTGTAATTTGCTTGTAAGGAGAGGGCATGATAATTTTTCATAATTTTTGCCCTATCCCTTTGTAATTATAGATTGTAATAGATATGTTCAGAATAAACTCGTGAATGAAGGATATGGAGATGACGAACAGCATTCAATCTCAAAGTCCACAAAACAATACAAAATTAGAGCAGAGCAAACACGGACCCCCGAAACATCAGAGGTGGAATCAGGTGCAATGGAGGAGTGAGCATCCCCTGCCGACCGGTCACACCCGCCGTTTGCTCCTTGTCATGATCAGGAAATAACGGAAAAAAATCCGTCGTCAATTCAGTGTATAAATAATGGACTAACAATTGGTATGAAAAACGTCAGTCAGCATTTGACTCATTGATAAACTGTATTTGCTGACAAAGTCATTGTATCGACCATAGAACTTAGGAAATGATGACTTTAAACGAGACTGCTGATATTCTTGTTTCGTCAACTTGCTTGTCAATAATTTACCTCGTTTTAGAAATTGTTCATACGTAGAGCATGCTCTTGCGTATCGAATCAACTGAGATATATATACTCCGTATGCAGGTGATGAAGGTATATTGCTGCATAAGTAAGGGAAGTTGACGATAGAAAAGTTAAAATCATCACATTTATCATATAGCTTGGTTGTTAGATTACCATTAGTGTCTTTTTCAAGTAAAATATCCAAGTATGAACATAAGTGTCGGACTCTGTGGTATCATTTATCTCAAGCTCACCAGGATATATCGTATCGACGTAGGAATGGAAATTACCATAATTAATTGATAATACGTCGTCGATATATCTAAATGTCGAGTTGAAGGCCACAGCAAGTGTTTTTTTTTCACGCATAAGATTTTGCATAAATTCTGCTTCAATGAATATAAAAATAAGTCTTCTAATAACGGAGCACAATTTGTACCCATGGGAATTCCAATAGACTGTTGGAATACCTGGTCTCCAAAAACCACATAGATGTTGTCAATCAGAAGCTCAAGCATCTTCTTGATGTCAACTTCAGAGTACATATGTGTGCAATCAGAATCTGTTTTAACAAAATAATTTTGCAAATGACCAATAACGAGGTAAGTAAATTTACGAGTCCCATTTTTATTGAAGAAGCAGCTGTCAATGATATCAAAAAGCCTGGATTTTAATTTGTCGTGGGGAATTGTTGTGTATAAAGTTGAAAAGTTTTTAAGCTGTTGAATTTTGTAAAATCTTGTGATTTCAAAGTGTCCAAAAGTTCTTTAGAATTTGAATACTGTTCATTATTTGCATATTTTACAGAAAGAAATAATATTGAGATAAGTTTTACGAACAAACAATGTACAAAACCAGCTTTCATCAATACCCCGGTATTTAAAACATGCCACATGAGAAAATGTTTGAAGTAATTTTATTTTCTGATTGAAGTATAAAAATATGTCAGATATATGTGCATATGAGGTATCACTTGTAATTGAAATTATGAAAAAAGCCAATAATTACTTTTTTATTTGTCGGTCTCAAAATTGCAAAGTTATACAGATATTTAAAAAAGTTAGTAATTTTCTATAAAAAGCACTCAAATTGGAAAAATAAAGAAAAGTAATCAAAATCATACATGTAACTACAAAAGTATTAGAACGAAAGAAAACTATTATTAAAATATATTTATTGCACTTATAAGAATTTTGACATTTAAGAATGCAAAACAAAACATCTCTATTAATCAATTGTGATTAATTAAATTTCGTTATTAATTTCACTGAAAGTGAATTATGTTAAGCATATGAAATCAATCCAATGTTAAAAAGGAAAACTATTATATAGAACTGCAAATAAGAAAGAAAGGTAGGCAATGTAATAATTAGGTAGATATAATCACTTTACTTGTTTTAAATTTTCAGTTACATAATGAAAATCGTAACTTCTTTAGAATTCTATAGAGTACATGTTTATTATGCTTAAACGATAATAAATCATACTGCTAAAACTATTCATGATTTTAAAACAGTACATCAAAAGTTTCACTCACACACACACCCTCACACATATACACCCTCACACAGAGAAATGCTATAAATCTATAGATACTGTGAAATTGGAAAATTACAACATATATTTTGTGATGGTAATCCTGCATTATAAATTAACAATGAAAAGACATCAACATTTTCTCTTACAAAAATACTCACACAAAAATACAAATTTTATTGTGCAGTATAACAGTTTTTGATCATTGACAATCATATCATATGATGGGAATATAGAAAACAATAGATAAAAATCAAATAAAATGCATTGTTTATTGAAATAAAAAATATGTAAAGTTAAAACATCATATAAAGTGTTGCACCTATACCTGGAAAATACCTTCATAGATGTCTATTCATGTATTTGTGTGTATGATAGAAAAAATTATAATACTACTCCCTTGCTAATTTTAAAATTTGTTCACAAAATAAGTCTGCTTATATGCTCTTCTTTCACACCTGTGTAACACAACGTATGATGATTTTCCTTACATGTTGGCATATATAGCTGAAAATAAAGTCAAAAGATTGATAATTTCTAATTTTCACTTTTTTGGGCATAACAAATTGTTTAAGCTTGTGAATCGAACGATGATTATGCTACAATGTACAATGTTTTACTTATGATTGCACTTCAGAAATGAAATATTATATAAATGGTGCCTGTTTTGTAGGGTAACATTTGAAATTGACACCCCAAGGAAAACCATTGTCAACCGACGCGTCAGCGGAGGTTGACAATGGTTTTCCGAGGGGTGTCAATTTCAAATGTTACCCTACAAAACAGGCACCATTTATTTTATTATACTGAATGTCTTATTGATTTAGGACGTCAGCAAAAAAAAAACCGTCGATCGTCTTTACGTTCATGTATAGAAAGCTTTCACACTCACCGGTTCACTAATCTCCTTATTGTTTGTTTGATACTCGAATTCGAGTCATTTATCATATAAAGTTTCGTTATTTCTGGCTCGCAAGCATGTTTCCTACACTCGCAAGCATGTATCGTCTGTCGTTTGTTGTTTTCAAGTAAGCTTTATCGGACGCATGCTTTTATTGACGTCAAGTTAATTCCGGTTCTTTCAAACGCGCAACTGACGTTTTGAGAATTCTACGGTGAACCGTACGCGCATAATTTCCACGCATGTGGCATTACCGTTGTGTTACCCGTTGTCACGTGTGTTGCTAAGGCTCAGGGTAATCGAACGGATTGTTACCTGCGTCTAAACCAATCAGATTTTAGTATTTAACATGAAAGTATAATAAATCAAGATAACGAACAGTAACATTACTAAAAAGTATACTTAACACGAAACATTCAATGCAAAGTAAGTCATTGAAACTTCCATAATGGACTATAATTACTACTTGTTGGAAAAGAAATATCTACATAATGTAACACAGAACCAGCATCTCCTTATAATGTCGTAAGCAGAGTTCAACGAAAATTTAGTACTAAGACATTCCACTAGGTCTTCTATTGATTTTCCTTAAAATTCTTCAGTGATCAATTTTATAATTTATTGAACAGTACATAGTCCCTCCACATTCCTTACCTCCAATGTGACTGTCACGATAGCTCAGTCGGGTAGAGTGCTCTGTTACAACACACTTTGAAAATTTCTGTCCAAGAGCGTTAAATTTGGGACCAAGTTTTTGCTCTTTGAAAAAAACTATTTTTATTTTCAAAGTGCGTTAATATTGACCATATTAACGCACTTTGAAAAAAGTGCATGATTTGGTCAATATTATTCAAATTTTAGGTATGATTACTAATTGAACCTGGTTGGATACGTTTTCGGTGATAATCTCATGATCTGAGGTATAGGTGTTTTTAATTTTTAGGTTGTTGTAAATGTTATGAAAGGGAAATGGGTCTTTTAGATATGATTGTTTAATGGCATAACTTTTGTTTCTTTTATAATTCTTTTTCTAGTCTGTAAAAAGTTCGGTAGATGTAGAATCTGTAATTTTAAAATATGTGATAGAGTTTAGGCCTCGCATTCTTCTTACGTGGCGTCTCTAACATACCCCTACCCAACGTAAATATCTATATCTTCTAAATTACGTTTCTAATTTAGGTAAAAGAAGTATTCCATTAGGGTAAACATATCAGTGGCCGTATGTCAAACCATACTCTATTGAAATGCCGAGTCTGTTATATAAATACATGCATATGGGTATAGCATAGACATCGCAATCGGGGAGACTAGGGGACAAACCCCCCTTTTTGCAAAGATATACATAATATAGGCATTGAAAATGTGGGTTTACCTTTTTTTTTGGTTTAGCCCCACTTTTGATTACCCCCTCTTCCCAACTTCCAATTTGCCACCGACGCATATGTATAGGAAAGATAAATGCATTACGCATTTTGAAAAAAAAAATGCGTAATGCATCTCCATGGTAAAAATGCTGATGTACAATTAAGAAATGTTTTTAAGTTTTGTGTGAGTTATTGGTGTGTGAATCACACAGTCTCACCACAAAGACATTATTTCATGAAGCGCTTCATGAAAAATATGCCTACGTGTAACATTTTAAACAGTATTATGATAATAATTTTCTTTGTACCTTTCTTATAACAATTAAAACATGTAATTTGAAGTCCACCCTATTCTGGAAGTGATTGTCATGAAATTGAGTTTAAAGGTTACACTAGACTTTCTTCGGTTAAATCGCGTGGATAACTAAGCATATACTCGGAAATCATATCACAAGCCCAAACATTTTGTATAACATACTCTGCACATGTTCAAACAGACTTACGATTTTCATGATCCACTTGACCCTCTTCGTTTTCATCGTCACTGTCCTCGTCACTTCTGTTGACAAAGTCTTTGATGCAGTCATGGATGAAAATGTACTGGTCCTTGAAGAGTAAAAAAATACCATTGATATATTAACTTCCTCCACTGCATAATAAACAATCAATACCACGGTTTGATTATCTGCATGCTTTTTCTTTCAAAAAATTCTTGACATTAATCATAATTCTGAAATGACCATAAAAAGTTTCTTTATCAACATAATACTAGAATATAACCTTCATGAATTGCCTGTGGTATGTGCGAGAATATACAATGACTTTTAATCTATTTTAACATTAATTCGTTAAATTGCTTGATATATCATATATGTTTCATGCCAACATTATTCATTCTAATTAGGTCAATATCATTTTAGATTCTTAAATATATACTAGCATTTGTTAAATTATTAAACTACATGGGAAATGAGGACTCTTTTTAAAAACTTTAAACTAATCCAAAGAGAGCTAATTAGGGGAGGTGGACTTGGTTTAATATTTTGAAAAGAAATTCATATTCCCAAATTCCTGAAATAGAATGATTATTTTTTTTTTCAAAAGATATATAGATTCTTTTACAATTCGTTACCTCAGTTTGAACCATATTTGGACGATTATTACGCATTTTCATAACATAATCGTAAATGTCGATGACATCACTGGAGCTGACTTGTTGCATCAAATAATCAACAGCAATAAATGTACCGGTACGTCCTACTCCAGCGCTAAAATAGAAGACAGTGCTTAAAATGCGTTCTTTTTTCTTTACAAAAAAGATAACATTACTCATATATATATACAGTGTATAGATTTTTAACTCCTCTGAAACCATTGCCTATGTATTTATGTAACTATTTCTAATTGATTAACAATGGCTGTTTGTTGTACCTATTGTCTATTATCTTTTCAATCGTTAACAATTTTTTCAGAACCACATTACAAATTTGAAATATTTAAAAGTATACTTAGGTTATAGGATTCACATTTGTTAAAACAAAAGGGCAGACCCTTTTACAAACTGAATATTTAAAAAAAAAAAACGGCAAGGAGAGATGAAAACAAATATTACATTGAAATTTGTGGGGAAAACCTTTAGAATAGAAATTAGAAGTTGAAGTGTTATTACATCTATAGTCCTAAAATATTAGTTAAAATAAAAAAAAGTAATATTTACAGTACATGTTTACATGCTAATAATGTTTTGTTCGAATCATGCAATATTCGAAATGCTTTACCTGCAATGTACAACAAGAGGTCCTCTATTAGTTGTAGGAGGAGGCAAATGACTTCTAACCTCTTTTGTGAATTTAAGCATAGTTTCAGATGTTTCAGGAATACCCATATCAGGCCATGCTAAAAAGCAGAATTGTTTCACTGTTTTTCTGCTGTCACCCTGCAGTGATATATAATGTTTCTATATGATAGAGTCAAGCAGGATGATGTTTATAATGAATGATATCAATATCATGCATAATCATGCAATGATAAAGAAACATACACATACAGAAACTCATATATAATGATTCAGATTATGATCTAATATATTTCATGCACACTTGCCACCTCTAAATATATTTATATATGTACATTCTGCTGCAGCATTCTTGAGTATCTGCTGTGCCATAAATCAAACCTTGTCATGTCTCTTTGAACATGCTACTAATGAAAATATGTTTTTGGCGAAGTTTCTTTTTACCTGCAGTGAACGACTATTGGACCAGGATCATTGTGGGGCAAGTATAGACGTGTAGCCCCAACAAAATTCAAGAGTAACCAAGTTGTTTCTGGACAACCCATATCTGGCCACTTCAGATAATGAAGCTGCTTAACCTTTCTTGCACGATCACCCTTATTAACAAATTTGAAATTGATGCTTATTATATTTGCTCCTCATCACTTTATACTTTATACACGATAACAATACAATAAAAGAAAGAAAGGTATTATCATACTATGATACTTGTTTTTGTAATAATTTTGAAACTAATAGTATAATACTTACACAATGTCTCTTACTTCGAATTACATTGAGTACCCCCTCAGTTAAGCAGTACATTTTCTTTAAAAGTGTAAATGACTGTCATTCTGGGACTGGGTAGTTCATTAATTCAAAGCTAAGACCTTGAATACTTTGTGATAAAAATATTATTGCAGAAAAAAGTGACTGTGTTAAAGCAAGAAGAACAATTACAAAGTTAACCCTCTTTCTCAAAAAGAATCATTAAATAAAGCAAGCAATAAACAAATAAAACAAACACGAAAAAATGATACATTGTAATGATAAAAAAGAGACCCATGTGCTACAATAATAAACCTATGTCATCTTTGCCCCCTTTTTTCCGTTTTAAAAACCACTGATGACAGCTCATGCAAATGTAAACAAAATTTCAAAACTGTCACAGTAGCTCATTTGCAATCGCACTATGATCGGAAGGTCGTGCATCTGAGTGGCACTGAATGCAGAGTGAAGGTGTGAAATCTTGATATATATGGTGCCGTCTCTCTATGAGCACAGGAGTCTGAAGTTTTAATCGTCCAAAAAAAAAAAAAAAAAAAAAATCCGGAAAATTTTTTTCCTACCCTCAACTAAAAAAAACCCAGGATGGCAACGTGTTTTGGGGTGACCCACCTAAACAAATAAATCTGGGCTTGGCCAGAAAAATCTCGCGACTAATTCAGTTTCCGGAGCGTTTTTGTTATTCATTTAATGTGAAAAATTCAATCTGCTTGACGACTACGGGCCGTTCCTAGCCCCTTTTCCATTTGACAGCTCATCCTGGACTCCATGCCACTAAACCGGAAGAGAATCTCGCAGTGTATATTGACGTTTATGAATACTTGTTCAAATGAAATAAAATAAATAATTGTTCAACGTAATTTTATTCAGTTATTTTAAATATATTTAAGAGAACTTTAAAAAGTTATTTATTCTTTTTCTTACTTGTACGACGATGTATACCAAGGACAGATAATTCAGTTTTTACAAGCGCCAAATTTAAATCACTGAAAAGCCATGTCGACAAAGAGCCAGACAGTTAGACTAAGCGCCCTTATAAAGCATTATTTTGTTTGAAAAATATATCTTTTTATTGATCACGTATGGTAACATAAAATTGTACATGAAGTTTTACATGCATTTTTTTTGGTTCTTTTCTTCAATTACGTCATATATTCACCTCGGAGTTCACTTCCGGTTTAGTGGCATGGAGTCCAGGATGAGCTGTCAAACTGGAAAACAGGCCATGAACAGCCCGTAGTCGTCAAGCAGATTTGATTTCTTAACTTGAATAAATAGGACAAACACTCCGGATACTAAATTAGTTGCGAGATTTTTCCGACCAAGCCCAGATCTATTTGTATAGGTGGGTCCCCCCAAAACACGTTGCCATCCTGGGGTTTTTTTAGTTAAGGGTAGGAAAATTTTTTTCCGGAATTTTTTTTTTTTTTTTTTTTTTTTTGACGATTAAAACTTCAGACTCCTGTGCTATGAGTAAAAAAATTATCGGAAAAAGACAAACAAATCAATCAATTAAAATTTCGAGGTCAATTTCAAGAAGTAAAAAATGAAAGGTTTACATGTGAAATACTGTATGAAAACCCTTGCAAACAGCAATTCAGGAGTTATTACCAAAGTTAAAGTCTTTAAAGTCTTCAGAAAGTAAGAAACACTCTTAACTACACTAATAATGTCGTATCAAAAAGCATACACATGTGGAATCTGAAATCCATAACATCTACATTTCAAAATTTGTGGCAGAGAATTAAGTTGTTGCAGTTGAAGATCAAAGCCCATGGTCAATTACATAAGGTGCTGGTACCTCAAGAAAAACTTTGACACAAAAAACAATCATGAGCCCAAGCATAATCCTTTCAAGAGGTAAAGGTCAAATTCTTAGACTAGGTCATGAGGTTAAATATGTAGATAACCAAAGTAAGGTCTTCGCATTTCAAAAATCATGTGGAATATAAAAGCCCTAGCACTTTCTGTTCATATGGATCGTCGAAATGAAATCTTTAAATAAACCGCAAGGAAAATTAATATTTTTGTAAAAGCCCTACGTCAACCGTTAAATGGTTCTTGCTAAGCTTACAGTTAAGAAATTTTTGCAAAGTAGGGCAAGATTTAATGTCAAGGTAAAATACATTGGAACCCAAGCAAATCTTTGCACGGAATACTCTTGTAAAAAAATAGTAAGACCAAGGACGAACTGTTCAAAAGTTTTGGGTAAAAAGTTGCAGATGTCCCTCATTCTTTGAGTACAAAAACATAAAAAAGAAAGAAAAAACATAATTTCCACAGAAATATAAACCCCACGTTAGCTAAAATGAATCCCAGCGAAACCGAACGTGAAAACATGAGGTACGAGGATACTTCTATGAAGTATACGGAACAGTATTCGACATAAATGTCCATAAAACAAACTGGAGCAGAGCAAACATGAACATCCAAAACATCAGAGGTGGGATCAGGTGCCATGGAATAGTGACCATCCCCTGCCGACCGGTCACACCTGCTGTGTGCTCCTTGTCATGATCGGGAAATAACAAAGAAATCCTTCGACAATTCAGTGTTTAAATATTGGTAGAACAATAAGTTTGAAAAACACCTATCAGCATTTGACTAAATGATAAATTGTAGCTGCTGACAAGGTCATTGTATCGACCATAGACCTAATGAAATGATGACAATAAACGAGACTGTTGATATTCTTGTTTCATCAACTTGCCTCTCAATAACCTACCTCGTTTAAGAAATATGAGGGATGATCAAAAAATTCGCAAACTAATTGAATAACTTTTATAAAAGCAATGAAAAAGTTTTAGTGTTGATTTTTTTAAGTAGTCCTCTCCAATTTTAACGCGCATCTGCAACCTTTCTTTCAATGTGCGAATCACGTGATCTAGGCGGTCAGGTGACATGATCCGCAGCATTCTGTTTCAGAAGGTGAAGGATTTTTCCTGCTATTATATTTCTTACCATGCAATTATTATTATTTTTTTTATAACAAAACACAGTCTATTTGTCAGAAATGGCCAAATCTCGACAACAGTATCGGTGGATAAGGATATTCTTTTTCAGAGAGAGCATGGTGATAACCATAACCCGTGTTCTCTGTCATGTGACCTTCGTTTATTCAGTGTGGATAAAGTATGGGTGCCTTGTGTTTTGTTATATCTGATATTTTTTAAGTGTAAATTAAACAATATTTTAAGGATTTTATAAACATATTATTGTTAAGGTATTTTATATTATATTAACTATTTTTCTAGTTTTCAGTTTGCAGTCTTTCAAATCAAATCGCTTACCAAATGACACATTTCTTACCCATCTTGCTTTTACTGGGAGAATTTACCGGGTGTCAGTAAATACAAAATTTACAACATGACATGTTGTAAATTTTGTATTTACTGCCAACCGGTAAATTCAAAATTTACAACACGACGGAATAAACATAATTTATAAACATCTCTATTCCTTCACAAAAACAATCAATCCAATTAGTAACTGTACTTCTGGCAAGTCTTTCATTTTCATAAACCGTGTACAAATTCTTATACATGTATACTACTGCAAAGGATTTTCCAAGATAAACGATTGAATTTACAGCCGTCCGTTGCTCCAGTACGACTGAGTCAACCATTTTTTGTCAATTGATCTGCACAAATGACGTCATTTTCATACTGTGACATCACAAACACAGAGCAAACAAGTCATATTCTATTTATAGAACATGTGTTTAACGCTAAATGCGCCGAATTTCATTCTGATTTGAGTTGTGGTTTTGTAAATGTAGAGATAGTTCGCGAACATGTTTGTTACCCCTCCTAGCTCATACATAGAACATGCTCTTGCGTATCGAATTATCTGAGTGTCATCTAAACCCCGTATGCACGTAATGAAAGTTGTCATAGCATAAGTAAGCTGCCGATTGAAAAGTTAAAGTCATTGCGTTTACGGTTGTTAGATCACGATTGACTTCATTTCAAGAAAAATATGAAACAGATGTGTCAGACTCTGTGGTATCTTCTGTTTCAAGCTCATCGGGATATATAGAGGATATCTATATTGTGTGATTTGATATTGGCTTTATCCAACGAGTTGAAATGGTGTATATATTCACGAGACTTGGGGAGGGGGGGTTACATCGGTCTTCAAGTAGCCAAGTAGCGTCTTTTTCATGCTATTTATCATTCATTTTATAGGGGTAAGAATTTTTAAAAATAAAGTATCAATAAAATAAAATCTTATTCCTAGGGATCGTGTCAAAACCGGTCGTGCTATTGATAAAGCATCCAACAATGGATAAAGCATAGTTTTATCCAACTGGTAGTATCATCCACACGTATGAGATAAAATTCAATATGTTTTGTTTTTTAAAAATCCGTACAGTTACAGCATTTGTCAGATTTGCCTTCAATGAAAAAAACCTGGGTCTAAGCCTGAAAAACCTAGGTGGAGTAAGCATCCCTCGCTCGACTGGTCATAACCTTTGCTGTATGGTAGTGTTATTAGATGTAAATCTAAGCATAAAAACAATTACATGCGGAGTAAAGATTAATCCTGACGTCGCGGATGCGAATCCCACTGTGGGACGCGCGGAGACCGGTCCTTTGGCTGAGACCGTAATAACTATGGTCGCAGTGTTGACACAATAAAGAGCCCCCATTGCTCAAGGGACCTGAGTGTAAAGTTTAAATCAAAAATTGAAGCCCTCCACTGGCAAGCTGTGGCGTCTCCTTGTGAGTAAAAATTTTTAATAGAGAAGTTAAACAACAAAGTAAGAAACAAACAGACCAACAACTCAGTAATAAACTGTATTTTCAAATATAAGAAGCAATCTTACCAACTTCACTGACATCACTCTTAGAACATAATCTGGAAGGGTAGATTCTGATTCGATTTCAACCACAAGGTCTCCGTAATATACAGGTTCTCTAGTTGTCTCTGGCCAGTATATATCACACTTTCGCTGTAATATTCATAGTTTGATATATTTTCCGGGTTCGAACATATAACTCTGAAGCATATTCAAGATGTACTAACTTTCCATAACAAAGTATCTGTTTTTAAAACACTTACCCGGCCTCTCTCTACCAGCTGTGTTAGCATAACAATTATACTGACATTTTGCTCCCAAATCATTCGCCAGAAGTCATCACGAGTGAATGGTAGAGGTCCCTGTGTTGCGATATATTCTCTTGGTGAAGAAAATCCCTTACAAGAGAAATACAGAGTAGGAATTTATAAAATACGTACACGAATATACGTGCATTGATTCATGCTTGAAATATTACATCATTAAATTAGGAATTTATCTGAAGTAGGCATTTTACCGGAATGTAATTGGCGTTTATATAATCAGAACCTTCGTCATCTTCAGTTGGAAGCAGTTTAACTCTACTGTGGTCATCTGTTTTAATATACCAAAGTATGATATGAAATGATTTTCTTCGAAATCGAAAGAAAAAATTAAGCGAAGAATATTAATATAACATGTCTCTAAATAAAACGCGCTTAAATATGTCTAAAAACGACTTAAAGGTGTTACACATTAAACACAGAAAAAAGTATGGTCCCATAAACTATAAAGGTGTAAAACTCGAGTATAATATGTAAGTTATGTGATCTTTTTGTATAGTGAATTGCACTTGATAAAGAAGTGAAGCTTCAGTAGCATCATTGTTTATAACTTAGCATAAAAAATACACTGTAAATTTTGGTAAAATTTAATCAAAAGATGACAGGTTACAAAAATCATAAATTTTGCATTTAACTCAAATAATCTATCATAGAGTTTCATAAGGAGCATTTGTCAAATAAATATACTTTCCTATATTTGAATTTGAAATGAAATGAAAATCAATATTTTTTTGGTAAAGTACAAATAGCATTTTAAAAAAATGAAAACATTTTGTAAAAGCTAGTGCATACGAATATTTCTGTAAATTTTTCTAGTCTACAAATCGTGTACCACTTTTGATTCTTACCATAAGTAGCTTTAAACATAGTTGAGTAGATATCCCTGAGATCCATTTGGAAATAGTTTTTTTGACTAATTTTTCAAGAGGTGTCTAATTTTACAAATACTTACAAGATAAAATATTGGTATATCGGTTCTTTATTCTGTTAACCTGGATCTCCGCAGCTTTTGTGCTGTGGGTTGCGCAGGTCTCTTTTATTAGCTAAATGACAGATAAAAAAATTACAAAAGGTCCATCCAATGATTTCACATGCAATGAGGAAAACATATAATACTAAAATGAATTGAAAACAAGATACATTTGTAAAACACTGATGTAATGAAATATATGAAATAAGTTAACGTACCGAACAATTACAACCTTTTGATATTGATGAATTTTGAATTAAATTGTTATTTTAAGACACATTTCAGTAATTACCTTGTATTCATGGGAAAACTCCAGATTACTATCAGCATGCATATCCTGAACATGGGAAGCAAATTCTGCAATCTTTATTGGCCTAAAGATAAACAATGATACAAAATTTAATTTTTCATTAACATTACATAATTAATATACCTAAGAAATAAGGTATCCTTTTTTAGTTTTATTGGGATGTAAAACGGGTTTGTCATGCACCTGATCAAATCCCATAACGCCCGAAGGGCTTTATGGAAGATTTGATCATTTGCCAACCCGTTTGACATCGCAATAGAACTCAAAAAATGATACCTTATTACTTATATTTTTATTTGTGACTCATTTATTACAAACAGTAAGATACTAATGTTTTTATCCCATAAATAATTTATTTTTTTTAACTCAACGGCATAATTTGAATGTGTTGAACACGTCGATCACTTTTGATGCCACAATGAAATTACGTAGATCGTGTATGACTAAACAATCAATTCATGGTCACACGACGAAAGTGTTTCACATAGGTGTAAAATCGACTTGTTCATATAATCTTATAATAGGGCAAACATTCGCAAATCTAAATATCATGAATTGACAAAGAATTTTTTGCTTTCAGAAAAAGCAAATATATGAACATTGTATAATTGCAACAAGAAAAATATTTCTGGCAATAATTTAGTAAATGCACAAAAATCATGATCATAATTATGAATAAATAGAGGAGACGAAAAATGTACACAATTCAGAGTGAAAATAATAGCCACACAATTTATATGAGGACGTGTCAACTTTCGACTAGATTTTATTTTTATGTGTGTTACAAAATCATTGTATCAACTATGGAATTTGCGAAATTTTGACTTTAAAGGAGACTGTTGATTTCGTTCAATCATCAACGTATACAGTATACGAAGGACGTTCAATGAATAACGTCATCAGCTCGATGACATACAACATAGAAATCATATGATATTAAGCTTGACTTTCTCTCATTATTGAATCTTCAATGGGTTGATAACAGTTTATGTGACCACTTTTCATCACATAGTTCTATTATGAGAAGCTGGAAAACAAGGGCTAGTCGAGACACTGCATTCAAAATGAATAGTCAAGAATCAGTAAACTAGAGTCAAATTAAACTTTACTTCCATTAAAGCTACGGTAAAACTTGTTCAGATTCCCAAAATATATTAACTGAAATATATGAAATTTACAGCAATCAATGTCTATTTTATACAAACATGAGCAGGTGCATATCAATGATCAAAAATGATATAATGGACATCAAACAACAACCGATGTATATTTGCGAAATTTCAACCAATTATCACTGAGTATGTTTGATTGACTTTAAGACACATAGGAAATTTGATAGACATCATTTTGGAGGTAGTTCACACTGTTTTAAAGAAACATTTGATAAGAAAAATGTTTAATACTCCAAGGGCACCCAATATTTTGAAAAAATGAGTGTAAACGACAGCGTGTAGGAATATCTAGCCAATTATTGTAAAAAATAAAAAAAATTGTACTTATCCATGTTTGTCTGAAATTCAAACAGATAGTAAAACTTGAATCCAGTTTGCTTTAAACCCTCAAAACAAATTAACAATGAGATACGCTTGACAAAAAGCAAAGGTCTGAAAAGAGCAAAGAATAGCAAGAGGCCTAAAATAGTTTTATATGCTATTTTCTTAAATATTAGTGATCTTGTTATTTAAATTATTATTGGAGGAGTAATTTCAATTTCTAGAAGAGCCTAAAAAGCAATTTTTTTGCAAAAAAGTGAAAGGTTTATGAGAGGATGAGCCAGAATGAGGAATCTACTACATTAAATTTCTTATGACAGCGTCCAAACCCACAGGCCATGAGGAGTAAAGGGGTTCCGGGGATAAAAAGAAAGTTAATGTTTTGTCACAACAACAACATTGGCCAGCACTTTCAACCTTTGACTTGTTTTATTTCCCAAACTTGAAAAAAAAAACCTTCCAGAAAGAAAAAAATCAAGTACAGGAAAACATAGGATCTTCCATATTTCAGTATACTAAGGGTCATACTCAAAAATGTGTTCTAAAAACAACTAGAAATTGAATAAAAATGTTCCGGACATGTGTTTTAATTAAAAGAGAATGTTTTAGTTAAATCATTCAGACTAAATCATCGAAAAGCGTTTTTTGCTTCTTTCCGAGCACCGATGACATTATTTATTGAACGTCCCTCGCATGTCTTTGCTTGCCTCCTTAAATAAATTGTTCGTACGCAGAACATGCTCTAACAAATAGAATCAACTGATATACAAAAAGGCTATATGCAGATGGAAAGTTGACGACAGAAATTCCGTAACGAGTTTGCCAGTAAAGCTTTTAATTACAAATGAAATGTGTAATATGTTATATAGATCTGTGTCAAAAGTGAAGATAATTATACTTTTTCTTTATATATTTCAATGAAAACTAAATTTTGTAAAATCACCGGCAAATGGTCAATTTTTGACCAATTTTATTTTTTATTTCTATGCTTTAACCAAAAAATGTGTCGCTATCTTTTTTATACAGATCTAGATTATTACATATTTAGTTTTTAGTAAAAGTTAGTTCATCACTTAATATCAGTTTTAAAATTCAAGATCATCGTTCACTAAATAATTCATTGCGAGTTGGTGACATAACTTTTCATGTCGCACTTAAAATACATTCACACTATTTTTAATCTGGTTCTCAGATAAAACTGCTGTTTTTATCAACTGCAAAAAATTCTTGGATTATCAAGATATTTATGGTAAAATCTGTCAAGAATTGTTGTTAAGGTAAGTCACTCCTGAAATTTGTTATATCAAGGATTTTTTGAGAAGTATATTTTGGATAAGTACTCATAAAGTGTAACTCAAAATCGCAAGGAAAATAGGGGGTCAGTGTGTATGCTACTGATCTACGGTACATTTAAGTTGACCTTTTTGCACTTAAATTTCATCTCTTTGGTTAATTACTTTAACCCTTATCATATTTGATTAGATGTAAGCATGGCAATAAATATAATCTTATTTAACGTAAAATAATTTGAATAATATTTATCATTCAACAAATCTTGCAAATTAATGCGCGTAAATTATTGTGTGACCTTTTTGCACTAAAAAACAACATATTTGGAGTATTAAAAAACTTAATAGTTAATAAGAAAAATTTTTCTTATATCAAACTTTTTATGACTTGAGTGCTGATCAGTTACAAGTATCGAGTAGTTTAAAATAATGAAAGAAAAAGGTGGGGTCAGTGATGTTAATTTTGAAATATTTGTCAAAATATGTGATTTTCAGGCAAAAAATGGTGTAAATTTGATCTTGACTTTTATATATTTTCATTTTTTGGAAGAGTTTGTTGAGGGAAGGTGTAAAACTTAGTCTAAAATTATAAATTCAGACCTTTATTAAATATTTTTAGCAATATCAAAACGGAAAATATTCTCCGAGTAAAAGTATGTGAGGCTAAATTTCCATTACATTACATTTTATAAATGTGCAGATTCGCAGAATTTTCTGCTAAATATCCTTCCACCAAAAGAAATAGTCCCTCATAAATCTTGCTTTTTTGTAGATTTTTGAGCAGTTTTTTCATTGAATGTTCAAAAATTTACATTGTTGAATTTAAATATGTTATAAAAATTGAATTTTAATAAGTAGTTTTGAAGTAAAAGCTTCTGCGTGAACTTTTCTAAAAAGCTGACGAGTGACTTACCTTAAACCAGTGCTTTTAGAAAATGTTGTTTTCAATGAGTTATAATAGAGAAAAAATAAAATTATCTTTACTTTTGGCACACATCTGTATCTATTATGAGACGAATTCACTGGGATGTATCGAGGCAGAGTAGAGATAAAAATTAATATAAGTAATTGATGAAACATTGTTTTATATATATTTTATATATATATATATATATATATATATATATATATATATATATATATATATATATATATATATATATGTAGGATCTCCCATGTGTTGTAGTTAGATTCTATGTATCCCATGTTTAATACTTCACAACCGATGTTTTACACTGTTTTTATATGGGAGTCTGCTCTATTTTACTTCATCACGCTAACGCAAAAACCATTGTGACGTCATAACTGCACTTAAGTGTGGGATATGAAAACAATATTACATGAGCTATATCCACGGGATAAAGGGGTAAACATAGGATAAATAGAGGATATCTATATTGTGTGATTTGATATTGGCTTTATCCAACGAGTTGAGATGGTCTATATATTCGCGATGCTTGCCGAGCGAATATACACCATTTCAACGAGTTGGATAAAGCCAATATCAAATTACACAATTATAGATGTCCTATTTATCTCATACGACTTTTTTTTTCAGCAAAACTTTGAGACTTCCCCTGCGAAACTACATGAATGATTGCTTATTCAAATTGATGACGTATAACTTGATGACGTAGCACCCTTGATGTTTACATGCCTCCAAAGAAAGTAGATCGCGTTCATAATTTAGAATTTTTGCTATCTGCGTCTTTGAAAACATTATGTGACAATTGCTGGAGCTTTACATCGAACGGACATCTCATTGAATGTTGTAAGGACCATGGGATCGTGAAAATGAACTCTCTGGACGATGGCAGTACAAAACGTGTGAGGCAGGGCTAGGGGCCTCCTTGTAGATTCATTGTTGATCCCTGGTAAGTTTCACCTACATTACTAGGTAGGCATTCGTAGTATAATATAAGAAAGCATTATTGAAGATGTTAAAGGAATCTTATAACAACAACTTAACTGCTAGGCTTTACTTTCTCCGAAGACGAATTAATGGGGGGGGGGGACGTCTGTCTTCAAGTAGCCAATACAGGTTCCTTGATAAAATAAGACACTGTTTTGACATATACAAGTCTTTTCTTTTTGCTTTCAATGATATTATCATTCATTTTATTAGGGCAATAATTTTCACAAATAAAAATTTCAATAAAATAAAATCTTGAAGCGAGGGATTGTGTCAAAACCGGAAAAGCTATTGATAAAGCATCTACCCGTTGATAAAGCATAAGTTTATCCAACGGCCTGTATCACCCACACGTGTGAGATAACTATAAATCTCACTTTATAATCATTTCAAACGATTTCTCTTTCATTAAAATAATGAAGATAACGAACAGAAATTTTAATTCAGAGTCCATGGATACAATAAAATTGTGAGCAGAATAGTTACTGATCCCTGAAAAACACCAGAAGTGAAATTAGGTGCCATGGATGATGAAACATATGGAGATAACGAACAGTATTCCAGATCAAAAGTCCATAAAACAATACAAAATAGGAGCAGTGCAAACTGGAATTCCAAAACATCAGAGTTGGGATCCGGTGCCATGGAGGAGTGAGCATCCCCTGCCAACCGGTCACACCCGCCGTGTGCTCCTTGTCACGACCGGGAAATAATTTTAAATCAAAGTACTGAAAGCACTCATGGGAGTTGAACGTGGTGTTAAATAAAATCTTTGATCGGGAGGTTAAGTGAGTGAATAATATTATTATTTCAAATACAGACAACCGTTTCAGATGTTTTGAGTTGCAAAAATTTTGAGAAAGACATTCAGAGACATTGAATAGCAAAAAAATGCAGGGGCCATATTGTTGCCTGCCTGCATTACTCCTTTTTTATACCTCCTGCTTGAAAAGCGGGAGGGTATCTATTAATCTGGATTTCCGTCTAATCTGTTTGTAACGCTTTAGGTATACCCATCTCTTATCCGCAACTCCTCTTACACCACTGAACGAAAATTTCATAGAATCTTTATTACATATTGCCGTTGTGCACCTTCTATTACTTTTCCATCCTACACATATTTTGGGTTTCCCATTGCAAAACATGGACACTGCCATTATATTCATATTAGAGGCGGTTGATCATTTATATAATTCACTGCTCACAGTCTTCAAATTCGTAAGATATTTTTCCTTGGCACCTTTACCCATGTGTTATGAAAATTCAGTTTCGCAGAAATAATATCAATGTTGATAAAATGTGGATTTTAACACAGCATCCTTTTAAGAGCTAAAAGGTTTGTTATATAAATGTATTTCAATTACACGAACATTATACATGGAGTACGTCAGAACTTAATCTTTTTTAATATTGTGAAGAAAAAAGCAATACCAAGTTTAAAACAAATATTTAACAACCAAACATAAAAGCAGTGGTACATGTAAATGTGAGAGTTTGTGTGCGTACGAGTTATCTGGTATGAAATTGAGGTTTTCCTTTTATTAAAAAAAAACTTCATTTTGTTGTTTTTACGAAATGATTTTACGAAAACATCAGTGTCCGTTTTTTGGTTTTAACATTTATAACAGAGTACTAGATTTACCGCTTTTGGCAGGTGATACTGCTGATTTAGTAATAAATACGCAAGTTTCCTAAAGTTTTTATGCATAAATGAATATATTTAAACCAAGAAAATGTTCATGAAAAGTTTGAATAAATTCTGTGCACCGGTAAAAAAGAAATTGCTAAAAATCTGGGACCGTCAGGCGTCGGGACGACTAGATTTACCGATTGCCGTTAGTATGTAGAGTTGTCGATCGTATCTTTTTCAGTGTATGACGCCACACAAAAAATGAGTTCCATAACGAAAAACTTTTGAGGTTCTTTATAATTTTGTTTTACTCTGAACGAAATCTAATATTCAAAATAAGATTACTTTATCATTATTACATTTACTTACAATTCAAATTATGAAAATAAGATCAATTCAGGAGAAAATGACATGAACTATTTGTGGCGGATGTTTACGCATGTTTTCTGTTGAATATCATCGGAGTAATCAGCCGACACAGTAACCTCGCTTTCGGCTCTATATAATCAACACAAATTACTGCGCATGTTAAATACGTGATGACCATGGGAGATTGAACATAGTTCAACTCCCAAAAACCCGTCGACAATTCAGTGTATAAATAATGGACTAACAAATAGTATGAAAAACTTCATATCAGCATATGACTCAATGATAAAATATATGTGCTGACAAGGTCATTGTATCGACCATAGAACTTACGAAATGATGACTTTAAACGAATGACGTTACTATGTCGGCATAGAACACCCATCGTGTGCTCTTTGTCATGATCTGGTTCATGGAAAATATTTTCAGGTAAACGGAGAAATCTAATGAAGTACAATTTATGATGATCCGCGTGACATCAAGTACCTGTGATTAGTAATTTTTATCACTTGATATAGAAACACGTTAAGTTGGAGATCAACAGGTAACATATGAAAATTGTAAAGATTTTAATGATTATGTAAGGGTTATAGCGACTTTGTTAATACCATTAATTAAAATAATAAACTATTATCTTGGAAACACTGTGTGTCGATTTTAATTTCTGAAAAAAAATCTGATAATCAATATCAGACAAAAGATAATTGGATTCTACTAACTAAATAAACAACAATTCAAGTCAGTATTTTTATTGTGTTCCTGAAGAATTTGATGCACATAGACTGAGAAGTTGACACGTGCATCTTTTAAGGCATTTTTTGCTAATGGATGTCTTGGGATTTCTTTATGTACCCGAGTTTGATAAGGAGGCTATAGCGGTTAAGCCCGTTCGGCAGGATATGCTTACTCCGATCCTCAATCTATAGCATCCTGCCTCTGGTGTTTAATTTTGTTGGCTTGCAATATCTATCCATTGTTAAGGGATATTAAAACACATATGCATAAATGGTCAGGAGGTCGACCCTGGGACAATTTGTAATTCGGTTTCCTTCTCACATAAATGACACCCTTGAGCCAACAGCAGTGCAAACGACCTCATCAGGAATAAAGGTTCGAGCTTTTATGGGTTATATTTGGTATCATGTATATTGTACGAATATAGCAAATAATAATTTATTAAATTTATTAATTTATTTTGTTAATTTTGGTATCTTCACATTTTTAAAAATTATTTGATACATATTTTCTGAAATTATTCCTATTTCATAAAAAGAGAGGGACTAGAAAGCAGGCTAAAATTCACCGAATTGTAAATATTTGTTTCCTATACACAGTGTAGGTACTTGGGTTAATAATATAATACCTTGGTTTTGAAACACTTTCCATTTCCACTGTAGTTGAAAACCCTTGATTTTCCTGACCCGGGTCTGTTGATTTACCTTTACTAAATGGTCTGCAAAGAATGAAATAAAAATGCTGTGCAAGTAAAATGAACTTACTTAGTAAATGTAAATGCATTTTAAAAAGTCATCTGGCATATTTAATTATTTATTTTTTGTAAAAAAAATTCTTTATTTTATTCTTTCAAACAAACATTAATGGTCCATGAATATTGGTCTTGCAATTATTAATTAGTACGTTCAGTTTGACTTGGCTATGTTGGATTTTTGAAATTCTGTCGATCGAATCGATAGTTTTTTTTCTGTTTTTGAATTACATGCATTTTGCTTTTGCATTCAATCGTACTTTTTTTCCCTTTAGGTACAAAGATAAAATTTACTTGAAACAATTTTTTTTTTAATTTTTAAGGACAGTTGATGTGATATTATGAAATCGATTTCTATATGTATTTATTCGTTTTTATTAATATTTTCATATCGTTTTGAGAAATATAATCTTAAAATTTGATTAACCAAAAGTTCTATTGCGCATCTGGATTGAGTTGCCTGCGTAAAGTTTTATTCTTTGATTTCATTGGCTCTTTCATTTGATTTGTTATTTCCTATTTTGTCATAATACATTTTCATTATAAGTATAAATTTACCGCGCTTTACCTTGTAAATCAGAGCAGTAACAAGTTTTCAAGAAAGAAGTATATTTCTACTCCAGTGTCCATCATACGCATCTTATGGTATGTAACTTTTATATTTGATTATGTGTTTCCTTACCATATAAAGATTTGATTTACTTAATTATTTTGATTGCAAACTTTTCACTTTATTGTATTTTTGCATACAAAGTTATAACATATATAATGAGTCTGTAAGATTTCAACTTGGACTGTTTACAGTAAACAAATTTTCTTAAGCGTATACTGTAGGTAAAATATCTCAAATGTTATTTTCACAATTTCTGTAATTTTGACTTATTATGTATTTTGCTTATTTTAGATCAATGCCTTTATATACGTAATAAATGATAAAAATAACATCTGCCTTATACTTATACAAACAAAATATGGATGCTTTGATTGGAATAAATTTTTTGATTTATTTTGCTTGTAAATGATTTCGCTGATAAATTTTAAAAAATAATAAGAATTTGTAAACTTTCTTTGATGCTCAAATTGCAATTTCTCTGCAATCATCCTTATTGATCATTACAATTTTTGTCCCTTAAAATCCTATTACTATTTATTAAAATTCAAAATCTGTGCGGTTAAATTATTCATTTTAATCATATAAATGTAATTGATTTTGTTATTTCCAGGAATTTTGACAAAAGCTTAATCTGTCCGTAACATCTTTGTTCAATTATTCATTAAAGTGAAACAATTATAACATACTTATAATTATATAAGTATACTAATTTTATTTTATTCCTGGATTTAAGAAGCAATTACATTTCAAGTTTAATTATTTTGTTTTCATTGATGAGTTTTATTCAGTTACACATTGACAATATCTGACAGTATCAAGCATATTAAAGTATGGTTGCGAAATATTGGGTGGACACAATTCAAGTTAAATTGTAAAAATATTTTATTTGATATGTTTTAGGTGTTTGAAAGTGCACGAATACTGCCATGATTTATGTTGACACTGGTAGACTTCCGATAAAGATATTTCGCATTTTCGTATATTTATATTTTTGCACAGGCTTTTAGAAAGTGATAATTGTATCCTGAGAATGTGTTATAATTCTTTGTTCAATGAATGTGAATATTTCAACAAACACTCTGTAAGCTGGGTTGTAAATAACAGGGAAAACCTTTTGGATTATGGACTTGAATTTCTCTGGTTTTGAGGCAAGAAATTAATCAATAAATAATGAACATTATCAAACAAATAATAACAGAAATTTCCATACAAAATCTCCTGAATGAAATTAATTGTCCAACAAAATTCATTTCAGAGACAAACTGTATTATTCAAGAAAGTCAAAACATCCTCTTTACAAATGAGAAATAAGAATGTCTTCACATAATCTTGCGATTGAAACTGGGCGTCGTAGAAATATTGAAAAAGAACGATGATTTTTTTTTTGTACTGGATTTTTTAAAACCAACATAAAAGACAAATTTCATTTTGTTTTGATTTGTATCTTTACAAAAATTTGAGAGGTAAATATGTATATAATAGAAAATTATTTGAAAAAAAAACATCCGCATCCAAATTAGTTCAATAACTGATTGTCCATAACTTGTCTCGGCTCTGCGATTCCGGATTTTTTTGCATTTCGCTTTTACGTTTAGAAATAGAAAAAAGCGTGGAATCCATTCTTTATGTTTCCTGTCTGTATATCTAAATATATGTATTTATTATGTGTCACAATAATTGTGCTATTTTTATGTAAAGAAGCGACAAATCATTCAAAGTAGGTCTATAAAAACAAGTATATATGCTGCTTTTCATATACAGAAGCGTCATACCATACAATGTTGACCTTTTATGCGTATAATGTTATAATATTGTATTAATATGTTATATAATAATAATAATAATAATAATAATAATAATAATACAATCTTAAAAATAAGGATCACCTTGCAAAAATGTCTTGCAAGAGAGGAAAGTATGCCGCTTATTTTTCTTTCATTTATTATTATTAAACAGTGTGTTATTTAAAAAAATACCCTTTGCGATTTCTCCTCAGATATATCAAAACAATGACTAAGACAATTATAGCTGCAGCAACTCCAGATACTGATCCAGCAATCAAAGGGACAGGATTTGGTTCTACGGGAAAAAAGAAAGATATCATAAATACACTTTTTTTAAAAATAAACTTCCAATATTGATTGATGGGAGCAGAGTTATAAACCTTTATTAAAGCACAACATGTTTAGTTCTGTCAAACAAAACTATGATTAAAAATGTTCTTCAATTACCACTTCAAAAAAGTTTCTGCTTTTTAACTCTTTTTAAAACCTTTTGAACACATCGTCCATAATAAGCAATGATAAATCAGTTAAAATTTTATTTTTTCAGATTTCATGTTTTGAAAATAACTGCTAGTAGATTTGTTGAAAATGTTATTTTAATGGTTGGAAAAAGGTTTGATGCAGATGCTGTGACAAACTAAGATATTCCACACTTCACGATTTGTTTCCTCCTAATATATTGCTTTTGAGAAAATATCGATGCGATAATATGTATAATCACTGTATATTTAGATGTGCATTTCTAAAAAAGAAGGATAATGTCTATGTGCTAACTGTATTCCGGGAAGTACTACATGTATTGGGATATGTTACCATACTGAATCATTTTGGAGATCTTGCATGGTTTTATAATTATATAACTGCTAAATTAATTTAAAAAAAAATATTGTAGTCTCAGGTAGTTAGTATTTTCATGATTTGACAGGGCTTGATGTTTTAGTTTTCTTTGGCATCTCTTAAAAGTAAATTTAATACAGGTATCAATATGTGAATGTCAAAATTTGGTAAGAAATTAAGTTTTAGAATTATCTGTAATCTATCCTTATTAACAAAAATACTTGTCGCAGTATTACAGTCTATCTATGAATTCCCCCTAATTTTGATTCAGCTGTAAAAATAAAATTGGTTAATGGCTTATCTAAAGTCTATATTTGATTAAGTAATTTTACGAAAATGCTTTTTAGAAAAACGATTCATGAAATGAAAGAACCCTTGAAAGTTGCCTGTACAACCTGTGGCAATGGAGGCTGAAAATTCCGACTCTAAACACCCGCCATTGGTACACACTGTAAACCGGACTCTACAACAAAAGATATAATTCAAAATCTTGAAAAAAAATAATAAAGCAACATGATTTTTAAAAAATGTTTAAAAACATGTCTTGCTCTCTGGAATAAAAAATGCCTTTTAAGACATATGATCTATTAAATGAAAAAAAACCATTATGTTATACAGCCTATTCCCAGAAAGGCTTCACCTATATCCAGAAATAGAAATCTATATCTTATTTTAAAATATAAGAAAAATAAGCCACCTTTGATAATTGAAACATGCTCAAAATATACCATCTAACTGTAACGTAATACTTAGTGGGTAAATTGTTTTAGTCATAATAACAAAGGATCATTTCATTATAAATAGGGATCTGACCTATAGGACCAGGATTGGTTTTTTCTCTACAAAAAGCTTGTCGATTTCCGTTCTGATTAATGACATTAGGTTGAATAAATATAACAATTTGTTTTTCCTAAATCTTTATTGCAGTGAGTAGAGGTAGGATTTTTTGAGTTTGTTATCTCTGTGTAATTTATATTTGTCTTTACTTCTCATTGTGCATAATGGTAATGTCTACTGTCTCTGAAATACTTTTCTTTATGTCTAGGCCATTTATCCATTTGTCCGGCCAGCAACCACACAATTTTTAGCAAAAAACGCATTGGTTGCCCATCGTATAACCCATTGCTGCATAATGTGACGGATACTTTAAAGACTACTAGTCCGATGTACACCGATATTGGGGCATCGCTCACACCACGGATTACCACCGGCCGGGAAATGTGACTAATGCCTAGGTCACATTTAACCCGATGGTCGGGCGACCAAATTTTTTCTGGTCTTGTCGGCTGAAAGAACATGATCGGGCGACACAAGTATCGGGCGAAACGAAGAAGTCACATTTATTCTTAGGAACAACGATGACTTGGATAAATAATACAAGAAGGATATGGAGATAACTAACAGTATTCAATCTCAAAGTCCATAAAACAATACAAAATAAGAGCAGAGAAAACACGGACCTCCGAAACATCAGAGGCGGGATCAGGTGCCATGGAGGAGTAAGCATTCCCTGCTGACGGGTCATACCCGCCGTTTGCTCCTTGTCATGATCAGGAAATAACGGAAAAATCCGTCGTCAATTCAGTGTATAAATAATGGACTAACAATTGGTATGAAAAACGTCAGTCAGGATTTGACTCAATGATAAATTGTATTTGCTGAAATGGTCATTGTATCGACCATAGACCTTACGAAATGATTACTTTAAACGAGACTGTTGATATTCTTGTTTCAACAATTGCTTTTTTCTTTAGAGATCAGCAATATTTTTTATAAATCTATATTCAGAAAGGTGACATGAGTAATGTTTGCAAGACAAAGTGGCAGAATTTTGTAAGTTTGTGACACAATGTTAAAAATGTGTGCAAAATCTTGTAAAGAATTGCATAGAAAAAGACAAAAGGCGCACATCTAATCAGCAAAGAAAACTTAAGATTTCTTTATATTTTACGGATTTATTTTTTATGTTATTCCATTCAAAAAATGTATATCAATCCGTGAAACAAAATTTTGTTTGTGTCATGTATCCTTTTTAGGTTAAATATTCGTAAGTCGGCCAATTGTCGCCCGATAATCGAGCTCTGAGCTACAGTTTGATTTTAACCGTAGGCCGAAATATTTGACCCCCTTATTGTCGAACGACGGACGACCGACTTTATAAACTTACCACCAATGGTCGGACAATGATCGAAGGTTGGTCAATGGATTGCTTCAATCAATGAAATCGGCCACAGACGCAGAAAAAATTATAACTTGGACCGATAGACACAAAATTGGTCGGCCGACAAAAAAAGAGGTCAAAATCGTGCATGACAACGGCCGATGAACTGCCGTTTGTAACCCGACAAATCCCATTTTTACTTCAAAAACCGTCGGCCGTTGGTCATGTTCGGAAATGTGACTGGGATTTAAGGCATTAAAGTCATCATATCGTAAGTAATATGGCCAAAACAATGACTTTTTCAGCAAATACAATTTATACACTGAATCAAATGCTTACTGACGTTTGTCATATTAATTCTTAGACCATTATTTATACACTGAATTGACGACGGATTATTCCGTTATTTCCCGATCATGACAAGGAGCACAGGGCGGATGTTCACTCCTCCATGGCACCCGATCCTACCACTGCTGTTTTGGGGTCCGTGTTTGCTATGCTCCTGTATTTTTTTTTTACTGTTTTATGGACTTTGATATCGAAAACTGTTCGTTATCTTCGCATTTTTCTCCTCTCAATGTGCTTTAAGGTTCTTAAAGGTTTTCAGAAAAGTCTCATAAAAAATGAAATTTTTAGCCCTAAAAGATTTTTAAAATTGAATATTTAAAGTCATGGAGGTTCATTTTAATCTTACCATAGATACCAATGTTTATTAACATGATATGAAATTAGAAGTGATTTATGGAGTTTTGCAATGATTGGAAAATCTTCATACACTATGCATTGTAAAACGATTGAAGTAAATAGAAGAAATTAAAGTAGCTTATATGTATAAAAATTGTGCAATTTCTAAGAAAGCCTAGATACCTATAATTTTTATTTTAAAATTTTTGTTGATCAAAGTTGAATTGGAAAATGCAAAGTATTCGGTAGGTGTTTTTTATTCGCATGTCCTGAAAAATTAATTAAGATGTACTAATTTTCTCTTTTTAATATGCTTTACTTTACAGATGAAGTTTGAAGAATTACAGTGGCAAAACGCATTACCCAAATTTAGTGACTTTTTGTGATCATTTTCAATTAGTCAATGCCTGATTTTCATAACCTTAGGTCGGAGTACCTAAACATTAAAAAAACATTAATTTATCGTTAAATTTTTAGCGTTAAATTCTTTTATAAGCTCGATGGACATTAATTTAACGTTAAATATTTAAAGTTAAATTAATGTATTTTTCATGTTAGGCACAAATGGTTGTGTTTAATTGTTATGCATAGAAAAAAAAATATTGCATTAAAAAAAATGAGTATTGTTTTGAAGAGTTTTAAGCATTTATTTTATTATGAAAATACTTTCGTCTCACCTATAATCAGTATCCGGTTCGAGATAGCCGTTGCAATACTGCCCTTTGTTATCACATTCCCCTTCACTACCGACAGTAAAACTTTCAGGTTGTTTAATATCTGTATCTAGAAAATTAAAAAATCATTATCAATCATTTTTACAGGATTTTTCGCACCTTATCAGTGTATCCTCTATTATCTTCAAGCCTTTTTTCTCCGTTTCATATCAATAGAACTAGTTCTGTAAAGGAGAATGTTCTCAAACTGTCCATTCTGTGAGAGAAAGTATTGTTCGAGGTCCGAAGGGCTTAAACCATTTTCTCTGTTGTTAACTAAGAAAGTGTCCGAGGTGATGGCTATGTATTTTCTATGATTATTTAACACTCAATTGTCTAGAAAGTAATGAATGAAAAAAAAAGAAAGATGGAAAATATTTACGTATTAATTAACTTAATAGACAGTGCAAGTTAAATTTGAATCCAAGGGATAGCACTAGCTCACTTTTCTTACTACTTCCCATGTAAAGCTTCATGAATAAAGAGGTCCTCATCGGATGGAGAAAGTATAAATCCATCTTTAGCAAAATACAGGTCTATTCGCTATATCCCAGTAAACTTGAAATTAAAGACACTACAGAGTCCACACAGACGATAAAGGCCAACTAACATATGTATAAAATTCGAAATGATTTCAACTTTTACATCGTCAACTTTCCTATTCTATGTATTCCACCGTCAGCTGCATATGGTGCGTACATCTTCAAAATTTTTTGGTACTTAAGAGCATTCTTAAGATCATTTTTTAAATCGATGCCTGTTCCTGACAGATAAGTTGATGTTACTCGAGTTTCAACATTTTTGTAACTAGTCAGCAGCTCTTAAATTTTATGATCATAATAATGACCTTGTTATCAAGTATAACCAATCATTGACTCATAGTTTGACTCACGACTTAATTTCAAACCAATTTGTCATGCATTTGTTTTTATATACTATATATGTTTTTATGTACATTTGACTTCAGAATGCCCCGTCTATCTAATTAACACATAGGGCTTATGGCAGATATCACTGGTCAATAGGAGGCGTTTACTCCTCCCAGGCACCTAATCCCAACACTGAAGTTTTGTGTTTATGTCTTTTTCACAAATTTGTATCGTTCAAAAATATTATGAGATTGATCCCTTTCATTAAAATTTCTGAAACTGATACTTTCTGATATATTGAACAGAGTCACATAAATAAATAAGATAAGGTGCTTGATTAATATTTACAAGTAAAATTTCATTCCGTTTTTGGAATATACATCAAAAGTAATAATATTATTGATTCAAATTAAATTACGACAAAATGTGATTATTTACCAGTTGTGCATTTTGGGGACCAGGACTGTGTCGCAACATACAAATTATTGTCCTCGTTTTTATAAACATCCCTCCATGTTTTATATATTTTCTTCCTTTTTATCATATCGACGTAGTCTTCCTTAGATCCATGAAAGGGCACTAAAATTGAGATTAATAACTTTATTCATTAGCTAAATGCTTAGTTTTTAACTTATGGATTACTTAATGTCTGATGCATAGAGGCATGTTGCAACCACTATTGAAATAACGACCACTTTTGAAATAATTATATCAAAAGTGGTTGAGAGTGCATTTCAATAGCAAACGTAGTTAGTAACCACTATTGAAATACTTATATCAATAGTGGTTGAGTGTGTATTTCAATAGCAAACGTAGTTAGTAAACACTATTGAAATACGACCACTATTGAAATAATTATACCAATAGTGGTTGAGAGTGCATTTCAATAACAAACATAGGTAATAACCACTATTGAAATATGACCACTATAATTGAAATAATTATTTCAATAGTGGGCGAGAGTGCATTTCAATACAATAACCATAGGTTTCAACCACTATTGAAATGCGAGCACAACTAAAATAATTTTTTAATAGTGGGTGACAGTGCATTTCAATATGGTAATCATAGGTTTCAACCACTATTAAAATACTACCAGTATTGAAAGAAACGTTTCACCGCGTCAGAAACCTGTGAAATAATTATTTCAATATATATTGGATTCATTGTTCAATGCACTTATGCTTGTTATTGAAATGCACTATCAACCTCTATTGAAATAATTATTTCAATGGTGGTTGTATTTCCATAGTGGTTATTACCTATATTCGTTATCGAAATGCACTCTCAACCACTATTGATATAATTATTTCAATAGTGGCTGTATTTCAATAGTGGTTATTACCTATGTTTGTTATTGAAATGCACTCTCAAACACTATTGATATAATTATATCAATAGTGGTTGTATTTCAATAGTGGTTACTAACTATGTTTGGTATTGAAATGCACTCTCAACCACTATTGATATAATTATTTCAATAGTGGTCGTTATTTCAATAGTGGTTGCAACAGAGGCATTTGAGATCAAAGTGATATATACAAAAATAACGAACAACATTCAAGCTTAGAAATCTATTCATACAATAGAAATGTAATGTCAATTCCTACCTGATATTCCTTTGAAATGTTTTGCCACAATTATGTACCACTTCACAGGGATTCCGTTCTGATTATCACATAGAAAACGTTTGTTAAGCAAAACTTTTAACTGTTTCTCGTCGTTTGAGACTTGAGACGATGAACCTTTGCTTATTACATGTTCCCCTGGTAGAAGGTGAATTGGTATTGGTGCTGTGGTAAAAATGTACAAGAATTCTCAAAAGCATAAATGCAGAGAAATATTGTCATTCAGTATATATCATGAAACTTAAAATGTGTAATATAAAAAAAAAATTATATGTACCTCCTGCTTTTATTTTTTCAGTGAAATTGCAAAAGTCTCTTTCAGATGTGTTGGCATTGGTTTTTGCAAATATCTGTTTTTTATTAAGAAATTAACATATATTATTTATTAAAAATAAGAAAAATTAAAGGAAATAACAACGATAGAAAAATATTTTATTGAAAAGAGTATTTGACATTGTAACATAAAATCTATGTTCATAAATATTTTATAAAGCAAATGTGTCCAACAGTTTAGAGTTGAAATAAAATAACACTCAAGAATCTTACTTGGAAGGTGTACTTTCTTTCAGGGATAACATCAATTACAGCTTTTCGTTTACTACTGGGGTATTTGAACTCCTTTAAAATTAAATGTATTGATACATTAATATCTATAAATAAATACCTTGAAAAGGAAAACGTGTAAAATGTCATGAAAATTCAAACCTTTTTAAAGTTACTTGAATCTGTATATCTAACGAAATAGTTTTGTATTATCCCATTTAGATCACGAGTAGATGGCGGGTCCCACGTTATGTACACTTTTCTGGTAGCTGTAACATTACTCTCCTGTATCACCTTAACGTTAGTTAAAGGTCCTGGTGCTAAAATAGTGAAAAAATGAATTCATTTTTGTAATGTTGTAATGTTGTAAATACAAAAGCTCATAAAGTTAGTTGATAATATGTGCACGTGTCTTAATGATAACATGACCATATTATTTTTGAGATCCTTATTTGTTTTTCTTTTTTACAAACCCCTTTCTATCAAACTGACCCTGGAGCAATAAAATTCCCAATAATTTTTTTTAAAAGCAACGAAATGTCGACATTTTATGCAACATGAACACTATTATATATAAAAAATTGTACACATCTTGTTCTTGAATTTTTTTTAAAACAATAACCACAATAAAAAAAATAATTTCCCAATTACTTCTTGAGCTGCAGGTCTGTATCTCGGAAAAAAATTGATTCAAAAGTGTACTGTAAGAAATTTATTGCATAGAACCTCAACAACACTAACCTGGTTTTTCAAAGAAGAGAAATGTTAACACATTTTACCTTATGTTTTACTATTATATTTAATTTTATTTTATATAAAATTCTTGCTTTATTATGTAAGATACCCCCAAACACACACGGAAATGAGAGTGACATTTCAGCACCGCCGACAGCAGAATTGTAAGTTTTACAGTTAAAACTAATCCATTCTGCGCAACGATCATATGAAATAAGGTTTCTGGCGATAAATCAAAACCTCAATGGAGGTAATGAAAATATCTTTGACAGCAAATACATCAGTGACCAAAATCTATTTATAAGTGAGAAAAAAATTAAACGATTGATTTGATTGTTTGTTGTTAAATCCCTCTCGAGAATTTTTCATTTAGATGGAGACACCACCACTTGCATGCGGAGGGTCATAAATTCCGTAAAATACTCGGCACAAACGACCATTGATATCAAGGCCAAACATTTTGGGAAAAATAATAAAAAGAAAAAGAAAGGAAAAACCAGCAGAAACATAAAATGCAAGAATCATTTGAATGGAAAATGTATCAATCTTTCAAATTAAAACATAAAGCAGAACATATTAAGACCAATATTAAAGATAAAAAAATAAATAATATGTATAGAAATCTTTAATAGCTATTGCAAACTGTGTTTTATTGTAGAAACTAAACTGTAATGGATAAAAGGTAAAATCTTACATTTCTAAGGAATAAAACTGTTAAACCCAGATTTGCTTAAGTAATTAGGATAAAGTCTTCTTTTTAGCGAATTCTTGGGGGAAAGGGGAGGCACTATATATATCCAGTATTTTCGCGTGGATGGGGGAATTGCTTCGGGGAAATGTAAATTGCACCACTGATCTAATGAATTAGATAATAAAATTCATATATTACCACTCATTGCTGTTTGTATGTGATCAAGATGTACAGTGCTCGCATTAAAAGGTTCGGTGATGACAGATAAAGAAATACTGTAGTTCCAGTAGGAGTCAAGATTGGAAACTGTGCACCTTGTATTTGAATAACCTGCATATCAATAAAAAATGCATTTATAAATTAATTCTCTTTGAGGTAATACAGTATTGTAGCAGTATCTTTGCTCTATTTCACAAGGATGATTTTATGGTACATTGATTATTTTACCTTCTTTTGTGCAGAATGAAACAATTTCTTTGGTTTCCTTGTCAGTTGCAGTAACATTATATGATGTTGGTCCAGTCTTAATTTCTGGAAGCTTCCAGTTCAAGCTTACTGATGACGATGTTTTGTTGTACGGTCTAAATTCACGTGCAGGTTTGGGAGCTGTAAATCATACATAGAATTCATTTTTAATCTTTAAAACATTTATTTGAGTTAATGACTACTTAACTTCCAGTATATACGAGTGATTTATTTATTATATATATAGGGTTCAAATTTTTGAGAATTCCATTTTACTGTTAAAATGTATTATTATAATAAATTTAGACTTAAATAATGTATGAAACTGTTACGGAAGAGAACGTCTCGTAAAATGGAATATATAGTATTATATAAGAAATCGATATTGTACAGGACGACAATAAAATAATTCTGCTTCAAACATAGCTTGTAAATAGATTTTCCATCACAGATATGAACAGCAGAAGTTTATAATTTTTTTCTCTTTATCACTTAAATATTTTATTTCAATTTTAAAACCACAATTTCCGACACCAAATTTGCAGCTCATATTGCTTCAAAGAAAATATATATCTAACGACTTTTTAAATCGAATTTGTAAATTTAATATTAAGGTTATCAATAAGACTAAATCATTCTATCAATTTGTATGAAATCCTTGACAAGAAGCGGGATTTTGCACATTAAAGTGCTTTTTTTTTTTTTTTTTTAGCGATGATGGACAATGAAAAACTCCAAAAGATTAATCAAAAAATTTCAAATAAATATATCACAGTTGCTATGGTTAATAAAAATACAATAATTATGATATCAACATTCTTTAACTATAGAAAAAAAAGCAAAATGAAATTCATTATACCAAAGTTTTTCATTACATTATAATCAAAATTGTGGGGTTTTTAGCCGAGATTATTGCTCAAAGAGCAATTGCAGGCTTATGTGACCCTGTTCAAGACAGGATGTCAACCCCATAGTCGCCATTTTAAAGTTACGTGTAAAAATATAGTTCTTACTCTCAACCGCTTTTGAGATAATACAAACACTAAATAAAGAAACAAAAATAAAACGAAGTTTTATCTAAATAAATAAACTTATTTAGTACCTTTGAAAACTTCAGTCTTAAGTCAAAGAACAGAGTTCAATTAGTGTTAGGATTTTTGATAATCAGTGTTACACGTATCTTAGTTCTCTACACATACGAAGAAAAGCAGGAGAGGTAACCAGACTGGCCTGTTTGTTTATTTTCAGTTGCGGTACCAGATTAATTCTGATTCTGACAAAATAGGACCGTGGTATTTAACAGAATCGAAACTCACTGTCAGTGTCTTATCATTTATATTGATAGTTTTAAAATGATTTTTTCATCAGAATTTTAAATCTGATATTCTTTTTTTTTTTAAATCTGTTAATACAATATAAACGTATGATTCATGTAAGAAATTCATAATGATTCTACTTTATAAATGAGCCCGGCTCTCTGTACTTCTGAGTACTTTGATTTTTTTAACGATAATCAACTCCGTTAAAGATTTAAGACTCGTAAAGGTATATTATACACAGGACACTTATCTTGAAATGCTAAAAAAAATAAAAGTAAAATATAAATAAATGCTTTTTTAAACAGGTTGTGTTCAGATAATAGAAACAACTTACGTTCAGAAAATGTACGAACAGTTTCGGATGTAGTCGGATCGCTCAGTTCTAACACACTGTTGACCTCGGCAGAAATGTTAAAGGAGTAATAGCAGTAGGGTAAAAGGTTTTGGGTCGTAAAGACAGTTCCAGACTGATTGGTGTTATACGTTGTAGAAAGGGAATTATTATGGTTGCTTGCAATAATTCTGTAATTGACAATGATTCCATTCGAATAACAAGGTGGACTCCATCTCAATTCAACTCCTCTCGAAGAAGTTACTTTTAAGTCCAGTTCAGAAACTGGATTTGGAACTACAATATAATGAAGTAAAATAAATATTTGAAACCAATAAACTGTGGTTCAATTTTCACAAAACAAATGACTCAACACAAACAGAATATCCCATATACAGGGTGTCCCAAAACATATGTTACACATTTAATCATTTATAACTTTATCAAACCACAACCATTCAAAAAGATATTTCGTCAACGTTTAGTGTATTAGCATACATTTTATCTAACAAACTTTCATGAAATCTTCACGTAATAATGATGTCTAAATGACGTCATCATATTTTTAATATGGAACCTTCATGTGATCAGCTGATAGAAATTGACAAACTTTGATATGGGTGTAAATCTGGTACTTTAGTCATTAGAACCATGAGAACACAACAACCTGTAATGAAAGTGCCCAACAGAATGCTAATTTACAGATTTGTAAGGAAGTTTGAAGTTAAAGGCACCATAAATGACACATGACTGAATTATGATGTTAGAAGACAAAGGAGTGCCAATACCAAAGAGAACATTAATACCATTAATGGAGTATTACTCTACTGAAACTTTATTTTTAATCAATCCCTTAGACGGGCCATTCATGAACAAGATAACTCCTTAGGTAAATCTAGCGTCCATACAAATCCCGAATACGATTTAAAACTGGTTTTTTATAAGATAATTGTAATGCAGCATTTGAAAGGGACAGAAGAGTTTCCTCATTTGATTTTAATTGTAACCGACCCTGAAAATTTAACAGATGCATCTTTTTCCGATTAAGCCCACTTCCATTTTAACAATGTTGTTAAAGAGAATCTTATATTCTAGTGTTTAGTAAAATCCAAATTTAATGTAAAAACCTCTAAACTGTCAGAATGTTACATTTAAAACTTGGTAAAAAAAACTTCGGAAATCGTGTTCATGCAAAGTTAATTCAAGGGACGTAATTTGGAACATGCTGTAAAATGACCTATGTTATTCAAAAGAAATAAATATTGATGACTATTAAGGTAGCTATAAGAATTTATGCTAGACAAAAAATTTATGATAATTTTAGTGTATATTCTAAATTTCATTGATGTAACTTGAGGTATTAAATTTTTATAACGATTTAAAAGTGTAACATATGTTTTGGGACACCCTGTATGTATATCGTACACCCTGTATGTATATGTAATTAAAAAATCATTTTTATTTTCTTAACAGAGAGAGAGAGAGAGAGATAGAGAAAGAGAAAGAGAGGGAAATACCTGCAGGTTTAGTTCTTATTGATATCGGATCACTATAATTTCCAAAACCAACCGAGGTGGCCATTCTTACTCGAAGTGTGTAGTTCCAGAAGTATTCTAAACTTTCAAGCGTTGTTGAATAGGAAAGCTTGTTTTCCGTAATTGCCACGTTTTTTACTTTTTTAATATTTAAAGCGTTCTGCATATTTGCTTCACAACCGCTGTGAGCTTTAAATACATATTCAACTTGAAAATGTGTGAGTTTCCCATTTTCCTTCTCAGGTTTGTTGAATTTGATACTTATGGTTGAGTTTGTGACGGAATCTCTTTGAAGACCAAGTGGAGCAGAAGGATCTTGAAAAAAAGGACATCATTAATGTATGATTTTAATGATTACAAGGTAATAGAAGTGGCATTTGCTGGAAGAAAAGTTTTTGTGAATTTGCTCGTTTTGCATGGTATAAAATTCATAAAAAATAAAAGGAGCTTTCTTTATACAAAAGTTTTAAACACTTCTTTGCTTTTCTGAATTTGTCTTATTATTTTTGTGCATTTAATCTATGCTCGACTATAAGACGTTTGAAACTAAATCATCGTTGCAATAAAATAGAGTTAAAGAAACATTAAAGAAGGGGTTGCAAGTTCTGATACATTAAATAAAGAAATGGGCGGAAATGTTCTACAGAGGAAAACAAATAAAATAAATGTATAAATTGCATATTGCAATTTAGTATGCTTTTTCTTTCTAGCTTGTAATCTATATGAAATTAATTTATTCCTGTTTGATTAAAGGGTTTATGTGACATATATGTACTTGTAATAATTGCTGGAGTAGTGATATTTAACTTCACTATCAACTGTATCAAAAATATATGCTTATATATTCCATAATTGTAAATCACTTGATGCACTAATTGTCTTTAATCTACCTTACTCAAAATAGTTATTAAACGATAGATAAAAACACATTAAATTGCATGCAATATAAAAACGTATATATACACGAGTATTTAAATAACACAATGTTGAATTATATAAAAACACCTTACAGAACATTTGATGTTTTTATTGCAAATATGCAGATCATTATAGAACATGATTATGAGAATTAGATGGGAAATGGGCTGCAATAACATTATCAATCAACAAAATATTACAAATTGCAAAATTTCACTTACAATCTTCTGATGTTCTCATTTCAGTAGTTGATATCCGCCCATATCCTTCTTTTGTATACGCAGTGACCTCGAAAATATAATTGTTGGACTTTTCCAATCCTGTTACATTATGACGAAAAGATAAGTCGTGATTTTTGAAGATCTCTGACTTGGATGTACCACATTCGCCTGAATTTGATATCTTATAAAAAAAAGCATAAAAATAAATGTTCTATAGGATGTTTTAAAGAACATCTTTCTATATGGACACATATATGGGAAAATATTTTTTAATGCAATATGGTCACAAAACGCAGCTGATCATTTATTTTCATCAACTTTACTTTTACTAAATGTGCATTTCGGTTCTATTGATTTTTTTCATCATGCTATCGCTTCGTTCGATCAAGCATAAATTCAATATTAAACCCTTCTTTTTTATTCAATAGTACTTGTGTTTTCAACTAATTATATACTTGTATATTCATTGGATTTAAATTATATTTCAAATTATCCAAAATGAAAATAATTATCTTTAAAAACAAATAAAATTTCTGTGATTTAATGATGAACAATTTAAGTCATATTTTAATTAAGAAAAAAAACATATAGTCATTACTTTCCGCTCTATACACACATGAAGATCAATATGATAGACACTTTCCACTAAGGAAAATGCTACTGCATGATGTTCTACTTTTAAGAGATAAAAATTACTTACTATGTTCTCTTCCATAGATCTTCCGGGAAACTACAAGGAATAAGATCAGTAAATTAGTACAAAAACATTTGATACAGAATATCATGAAATATGTGGAGGAAACGAAAAGTATTCGAGCTCAAAGTCTATTAAACATAAACAAAACAGGGGCGAAGCAAAGAGAGACTCAAAATCATCAGCGGTGGGATCAGGTACAATTGAGGGTGAGTATCCCATGCCGACCTGTCACACCCGCTGTGTGCTCCTTGGCATGTCTACTTTCATGTAAAATATACAATATGTAACGACATGTGTCAGACTCTCGTATCGTTTATATCAAGCTCACACGAATGGAGATACCCTGGTAATTATTGTTTATTGACAATACGATATATCTAAATGTCGATTTGAAGGTCACCACAAGTGTTTTCTTCCTTTCACGTAAAATATTTTGAACAAATTCTGCTTCATATAAATATACATCGAATTCGTTTCATTCCTTCTCTGGTCCATTTAAAAAAACATCTTGTATAAAATTTTTAAAACGAGGCTGAGAAAATATTCCTGAGTTCCTAAACTACAAAATATTTTATCAATATAAAACATGTAAAATAAAAGTTTTTTTTTATATTGTTGATCATTAGAGTTTGATCTGAAAAATCCCCATTGTCAAAAATATGTAAATGAAAATGATTTCAGATCATATTGAATACACCGTCCTTTTTGTTAATTAACTGCACAATCAATTTAATCATGTCTTTGGCAGTTCTGACGCTTTCTATATAATTTTTCTCGTAAACATTAAAGAAGGTTTAAGAGCTGTTGACCTTTGGTTTGACTAGTGTTTAGAACAATTGAACTATTATCTTAAAAAAGTGGAAGAACTAAGAATATCATTGAAAGTTCAAACAACTTATTAATAAATTACATAGGCAATTTAGCCACATATGATCCACATATACATTGCCTTTCACTACTGGACTTGAAAATCCCTGATATTCTGATTATTCTCTGAAAATCTCTCAAAGACTCTGTACCTTCACTGTAAATCTCTGTACTTGCCTCTGTACTTTACAGTACAACACAGTAAATCACTGTACAGAAGCACAGCATTTCACAGCACCTCCCTGTACTTCACAGTACGTTTCCTCTGTACATCACAGTACTCTACAGTACTTCCTAGTACGCAGTCACTGTTTTTCACTGTACGTAACAGCCTTTTACTGTACATATTACTGTACTTCACAGTACATTACTATTATGCCCTGTACACATAAACTGTACATTACAGTACATCAGGGTATTTCACAGTACACAGTTCTGTACATTACTGTACGGCACAGATTTACCCTGTACTTTTTGTTTTTTAATTTTAGATTTAATAGAAAGTCTTATTTCTAGTAAATGACTGAATTAACAATAATAATTCTGTCAACAAAGATTTATTCAAATTGGTATTTATATTTTCATGTTTGCTATGTGCAAGCATTTTTAGGTGAAATTTCCAATATCACGTCTGTTAAAAAAAATAATGGAGACAAAATATGAAATTTCATATGAAGATCATATGTGGCTCATATGAGAATCATATGTATATACATTCATATGAGAATCATATGTGGCCAATCATATGAGAATCATATCATCAAACATATGTTAATCATATGAAGTAATATACATATGATTCTCATATGAAAGTTCTTACATATGAGAATCATATGTGGCTAAGTTGCCTGTATACGTATGCATTCTAATAAACTTAAAACATTCCCAGAAATATGGAATAGGTCCAGTTGTATTATTTAAACCGTCCTTTTTAACCTTTTTACAGACCTGTGAATAAAGGAAATATCTTTTCCTAAAAGTTGTTAAATGAACTTTTAACATACCCCAAACCATACTTGGCTAAAGCTATCTATACCTCTGTGAAAGGTAAAAAAAGAGTCGTGAAATCTTAATTTTATAAATAATGCTTGCATGCTTTATCTTAAGCATGACATATTGACAACAAATCTATATATGTATTTGACAATCCGCACTGAATTCACCAAGTAAAAGGTTAGAGTCTGGGAACATTCTTTTTATCTATTACACATGTTATACAAGGATTCTCCAAGAGACACATCTCTTTATATTTGGATACTTTACTTAATATTTTGAAACTTTACCAGAAAAAAACGTTCATGGTTACCTAGAAGCAAATCTTTATGAGAAACATAAGGACTTCAATTTTTCTATAGTTAACAACCTTTATCATCTGCATATGGAGTTCTTATCTCCCAGTTGATCCAATAAACAAGAGCAAGCTCTATATTTGTTTCTTAAATTTCTTAAACAAGGAAAGCTTATGACAAAGAAGTAAATGAAAGGAGGATTTCAACAGTTTTTGTTTACAGTCAACATTTCGCAAGTTCTATGGTCGATACAATGACATATTGTCAGCAAATAAAATCTATCATTATGTCAAATAAACTGACATTTTTCATACAGATTGTTTCGCCATAATTTACAAATTGAATTGTCTACAACTTTTTTTCATTTACACGACGATGGCAATGAGCACATGGTCGGGTGTGACAGATAGGCAGGGGATGCTTATTGCTCCACTGCATCTGATCACACTTGATTGCTCTGCTCCCAATGTGTATGGTTTTATTAGACTTTAAAATTAGTGTTATCTTTCTTATCAAAGACAAATGAAGCTTAAGAGTATAATAATGATAAGCAATTTTACATTGTTGGTGTTTGCTAGTGCATCTGGACAACCTCTCTCACATTCCTTGCAGTTGAAAATTACTTCACGGACACACTTCTCTTCATGTTTTACTACTAATCGATATTTGAGAATAACTCCATTTGGTTTTGATGGTTTTGTCCAAGAAACTATGATTGAAGTGGATGATATATTCTCTGCTGTCAAAGATTGAACTTCATCTGGCACTGTGACAAAAAAATCAGTGATTAGAAGTACAAAATAATTGAGCCTCTAGATGCAAGAACAACAAAAGACCGAGCTTTAACGGTCACTTGTGTTAAATACAACCCTATAAGTAACCCATGGTAGTTATTATGAAAAAAATAATCAGAAACGCAAAATAAAAGATATGATGATCCTTTACCTGAACATCAAATTATGTAAAGTGAATATCTATCATACGTGAGAAACAACGGGCTAAATTAACAATATAAATGTAAATGACACTTCAATTCAGAAGTTCCACTTTTTGTATTGTCTTCGAAATTTTACACACAGTTGAAAAATCGTTTATACCAATTATAAATCAATGAACTAAAATGATGTACAATAAAATGACAAATAACATATGATAACAATTATCAAATAATTTCATAAAATGAATGTATATCCAAGTCGAATGACCCAGTCTCTTGTAACGCGAATTTCATGACGTTAAACATATGGATCGTATGCATAAAAATTTTCTTAAGTATGTGCTAAAATATCTGAAGCATATTCTTAGCTGGGTAACATACTTAATTTCTGTTGCATAAAAATTCTAAACAACATGCTTAGTGATTCTTAGATAAGCATATCACAATATGCTTAAATACACTGTTGCCATGTCAATAAAGCCACTTCCGCTTTCACTTAAATGTAAACAAACACATATCATAATAAAGAAACTAAGAAATAATATTTTGAAAAATGTTGTTCATATTTATTTAATAATCACCTTCCTCTTATAACTATTCATTAAAAAATTTTGATCACTTTAATAGATCAAAATATTTTGTTTGATATTGATAACATGTTCTTATTATCATCTCAGAGAGAGAGAGAGAATGAATAAACTGTGGAGGATGTACAGAAAAAATTGCATACATGAGAGGAAGAGCGAATCATTATATTTTTTAATTAAAATATATTTTTTAAGAGGGCATATATGGTATACTTGTACACTTTTTCCACAATGAATTTAGGTTTCCTTTCGAATATGTGTATGTAATTGTGTAATATTTAGCACTTTTCTGAATACAGTCATTCCCTCCCTCCCTCCCTCTCTCTCTCTCTCTCTCTCTCTCTCTCTCTCTCTCTCTCTCTCTCTCTCTCTCGGGGTGTCGATTGAATGAAAATCAGGTATGTAATATGGGGTTGTTACAACGCACTTTGAAAAATTACGCACTTTGAAAAAATTTTTCAAAGTGCGTTAAAATTTGGGACCAAGCTAACGCACTTTGAAAAAAATAATTTTTTTTCAAAGTGCGTTAATATCGACCATATTAACGCACTTTGAAAAAAATGTAAAGATTGATCAATATTCCTTCAAATAATCGGTATGATAAAAAACAGATCCTGGATTGATAACTTTTTTATGATAAGTCATTGTAGGACCTGGGATATTGACGTTTTAAATATTTAAGTTTTTAATGAAATACAAGGGAAAATGAAAGGGTCTTGAAAAAAAGAGTGACGATTGTTCAAGTTCATTAATTCGTTTCTTCTTTTTTTTTTTTAAATTCTAGTCTTTGATAAGTAGATTTAAAGGTGTACAGGGGGCACTAACAGAGGACAGCTTCAAGCAACATAGCATTTATCATAATAAAAAGGGGCATAAATAACAAATAAAATCTTTCCATGACTAAAATATGATTTTTTTTTTTCAAAGTGTGTTAAGTATCTCCATGGTAAAATATATTGATGTAGACTCTTAACGCACTTTGAAAATTTTTTTCAAAGTGCGTTGAGTTGGTCCAAAATTTAACGCACTTTGAAAAAAAATTTCAAAGTGCGTTGATTTTGTCCCAATTTTAACGCACTTTGAAAAATTTTTTCAAAGTGCGTAATTTTTTCAAAGTGCGTTGCCACATGGGGTATATGTAAATCGAATTCTTCTGATAATGTAAGAATAATTTTAAGCATAACTAAAAGCACTTGGGAACTCAATAAGAATGACTGCTTTGTCACAGGTGCTGACAGAACTATGCAACAATCAAATGACGTCATATTTTAAACCGTTTGATGATAAATGGCTAGCATCTTGATAAGTATATAAATGCCTCATAATAAAGCGGATACATGCAGATTGTGATTAATTTCATTGATTTTCTATTTATTTTGTTTTAAAGTTCCTTTAATTATTTTTGTGTAATTAGCTCTTACAAATATCTTGAGCAATATGCTTAAAAACTTAAGACAGGTAGATGCCATGCTTAACTTCAAGCATATGCTGAGTTGAGAAGTTTTATGCAAGATGCTAAGCAATATGCTAAGTAAAATTCCAATCTGCTAAGCAGAAAAAACAGTACTTAAGTATATGCTTAAGGACTTAAGAATTTCTATGCATACGAACCATGGATTTTTAATTTTTATCACAGGCCCTTGGTTTGTCTGCTTTTCACCCACAAACAAGCAGAAAAGATTTTTTATTAAAAAATAAAATGCATTTTCACTAGATAATCATTAGAGTCCCACTTTGTAATAACAACTCCAGACCAATTCATGCCAATTTACATAAACAATAGCAATAATAAATCATGATAAATTCTGTTTTTGCACTATTTAACATGAAAATTTTCTTATCGCGAACGTAATTGAAACTATCAAAACGCGTGTCATGGACCGTCTGTGAACAAAAAAAATGCACATTCGAGGTGCATGTGTACTGGTATGGTTTCATATAATGGTGTTTTACTTTTATAATTTGGTTTAGAACTGTTTTTTTTATAGAAAAGCCTCGCATAAAGTATAAACAGTCATAAAGCGAGGTTATACATGTAAGTACAGTATAATTTAGGAAGTTGATATTATTACATTTCTTAAAAATAGGAAAATAATATTTTTAATCAGTGTAAACAACAGTACTGAGTTGACATAGCTGTATGAATATAATCTAGAGATCAGTGACCTTATTAATGACCAATATCACACTCAAGCATAAATTTGACAGTTAAATAAGGATTTTTTCAATTGATTATTGTAATTAAGAATACTAAGAGAGAATCTTACCATCCTCCGTCGTATATACAGTATTACTAATGGGTCCCCCTAGACCTGCTCCGTTTTCTGCTGTCACATTAATCTCATAACATGTACCTGATTGTTAAAGTCATCAAAAATGCAGTCAAATGAAAATAAAGTTAGAACTCTACATTTCGATCTCCCACATAGTATTATGAACACTAAAATAATTGCCTGTGGAGGGCATATTATCTTTAAAAAGAAAAATAATGAGCAATAAATGTATAGCTCTTAAGCAACGATTTCATGTGAATTAATAATAAAATCTTCTTCTTCGTATGATTATTAAAATATGTACCAGCTGTAAGGTTTCCAAAGTAATGCCATATTTCTTTAGTATAATCCTTTATACTTTTTGCACCATTTAAATCCAAAATAGTCAGTACATATCCTTTGATTTGCCCATTGCTGCAACGAGGTGGACTCCATGTTACATTGACCTCATGTGTACTGATACTTTGCAAAGTAAATTCCGAAATACCTCCAGGAGCTAAAAAATACAGCTTGATCTCAAAAATAAATCTGTTGCAGTAACGACAACGTATAACTTACATGTTACGCAAGTTTCGACATAGCTCTCTAACGATAGAGGCGAAAAAATATCCATATCGGTAAACAAAACTCGTCTGGTACACAAAGGGAGATAATCTTGAAACTTGCGTAATGGACAAGGTTTGTTCTGAAAAAATTGTCACTATCGGTTTAGGGGGAGGAGGAACGCCCCCTTTTGTGTACGAAATATACAAAAGATTTAATAAATCAATTTTGGTGTAGCTGTGGGCCCTTAACCCTCCCTGATCTGAACAATGTATGTGGAGTACGTAAACTGGTGAAGCTGATACATTGTACATGTAATAACGCTTGTTAATTCGTATCTAACATGGTTTTAAAAGATTTAATTGAAGATGAATAAATATACAAGAGAAAATATTATTTATATGCACAATCAATGGCTAAAATTTATTTGTCATACAATTTATGTTAAGAATTATATCTTTATAGATTTATATTAATTTTTCTAAAGACAATTTTGAAAATAAATATGTTATTTTGTGAAACTTTTCAATAAATTGTGGCGATGAAAAATGACCCATCAAATGAAAACCTACCAGTTTCTTCAGCAAATAAAGTAGAACTCTGTGAGATACTTCTAAGTTTCCCAGACACAGCGATTATTTCGACCTGACAACTTGCCCCTGGTAACAAGTTGATGATGGATGCATTTGCACTGCCACTGGTATATTGAATTAAATAATTATTACACGGACAAGTCTGTGAACATGTACAGCTTGCTGTTAAATTGTAGGTATTGACAGATCCCTCGGAAACATTCCATTTAAGAGATATTGTTGTTGGAGTTTTTTCAACTAAAGAGATATTGCCGGGTTGAGCAGGAACTGAAAGAAAATGTTACGTGAAAATATTTTCATCAATATACCGGTACTAGTATCTTAAATCAAATATTAAATATATGTCAAGTTATTTAATCTGTGATATTTCTATTTTTTTGCAACTAAAATGTGCTCTTTCTTTTAACTTTGCATCACTTTTGATATCTGAACAAAACAAAAAGTTTTATCATCAGAATCAAATGAGCAAAATATCTGTGAGCAATTTTATACACATACCAGTATAATTTTGATGAACACAATTATGAAGACTTGTCATATTCTGAACTCCAACTGAAGTGATCTCAATAGTATACAGAGTTCCAGGATTTAAACCCGTCAGTATTTTTCTATACCTTAATTCGTTATCAATTTTGATTTGGTTCTTTTCACTATCATTAAAATATGTTACTAAAAAGTAAACGATATCATGTCTTTTTAACTCTGAAAGATCAATTGATATATTGGTCAATCCAACATTAGTCACAGGAGATATGCTGCAGTTGGGAGCTGTTGGTCCTAAAAAATAAGCATAATCATTAGCTTGTTTATTTACACCATTATTTCTATTTTTTCTATTAATCGTCTTTGATATTTAAGTATATCATTTTCCATAATTTCTATTCAATACTAAAAAAAAAAACACAAAGACATTTTTATAAAAAAAACTTTTGAGAACTTTTTAAAGGCAAGATTTTTTACAAGGCTTTGCAGAATACAGAAAAAATAACAATAACAAAACACTACCATCTAGAGACAGATAGGTCAGTAGTAGAGAAATTATGCTCGGAGGAAATCACGGTTGGCAAATAAAAATTGAAATCCCAAACAAAAAGAATGTGGAAACAATAGATAGAATTGGAAAAAAACATAAGATCGAGAAATTCGATTTAAATTTAGAAACATCTAAATTAAAATAATAAATGTATGTGTTCTTCTATGATTTTCATATTTGCATTACGCTCAGTTAGACAGTCATTTTCTTTCTCCTATTTGAACAAAATTTAAAAAATATAATATAATTTGAATGTTTGCAGTTTTGACTCGTCATCGTCATCTCGACTCAGGGGGATAAGAAAGAAAGAGGGAAAGAGAGATATTTTTTTAATTCACAAATACTTTATAAAAGGTAATTTTACTTACTTGTAGATATATTGAGTGTACAGTTCATAGCACTTTGCTGGTACATTTTCCCATAAGAAAATACTTCAGCAGTGTATATTGTACTTGGCAATAAATCAATAAATTCTTTGTTTAGCTCTTTGGATGAAAGCGTCTCTGTTGTGTTGTCAATGCGTATCTCATAATTCATAGCACCTTCGTTTTTCAGTGTATTGGAATCAATCTGAAGCAGAATCGAGTTCTCTGTAGAGTTGATCTTTATTTTTTCACAATCTGGATTTGTCGGTTCTGTAACCAAGAGAAAAATCTTTTTATGTGAGTAATATACACAGTATAATCAACCACATTCTGGAACTTAAGATTTTTTTCTGAACAAATGTATTGTTTATGGGGAGGTAATTCTAAAGCAATGAATAACCCCCTTCTGTTGTTAACGTTTTAGTTTTACGTAAAAGTTTGATTCTAATACTAGTACACTATACATAAAATTGTAAAAATTCTTCGTATATATCATTTCTTCTAATACAGACCAGAGTACACAGGAACCTACCTTACTTTTCCTGAGAAAAATATTTAAATCACATGTAATTAAAAAATAAAGCTGCTTGCCAACATTTTTGTTGCGGAACGGATGACTCAGACAAATTTCAGCATTAAAAAATGGTACGAGATGTAACATAACCCCCCCCCTCCCACCCTATAATAATTTTCGCTGTCTTTCGGCATTTTTGATCTCTAATGCATATGAACTTTAATCATATAGTTTAAAGCAGCCCAAGCTACCTTGTTCCAATCAATCACTTTAATTTGTTTTTTTTTCTTACTTCATTCTTATAATAGACATTAAAAGAATCTTTAAAAAAAGCTTTTAAAAATCATGTCAGATCAATTTTTCAAAATATTATCCATATGTTTGTGCATTTCCCTTATGTTTCTTCTAAATGTTAACTAATTAGGTCTTTCCGCCTTTCGTGGAAAGACCTATTGGCATTCTTCTGTTTCTTATTAGGTCTTTCCACCTTTCTGTGGAAAGACCTATTGAAATGCTTATGTTTCTTATTAGGGCTTTCCACCTTTCTGTGGTAAGACCTCTTTAAATGCTTATGTTTTAGGTCTTTCCACCTTTCTGTGGAAAGACCTATTGAAATGCTTATGTTTATTAGGTATGTCCACCTTTCTGTGGAAGGACCTATTGATTTTCTTCTGTTTCTTCTTTTCCTTTTTTATTATTTTTCTGCCGTGTGATTTTGAGTTTCAAGATTTATCGAAAAGATTTTTAGTCGATAAGAATGTACCCCATAAAAAATTATTGCAGTTGACCTTGCGTAAATGAACCTTGATCCCTTTCGGAGTTACGACTGCTTTTGCAAGAAATGCTTGTTATCGCTACTGCTCTGAAACCGTAAACCGTAGAGGTATGAAACCTTCACCAATGTCTTTGACTAATTTCGGAGACTCTTCAATCTATTCATTGCAAAAGTATTCGGTGACTCCTTCAATGAGTTACTGCCCCTGAATCTTTTTGAATTTTACAAATAATAAAAAAATTTCAAAACAAGAAGTTGTAGAGACATGGGACCAAGTGCATAGAATTCAGTGACCTTTGACCTTTAAATTTATGCAAAGATCAAAGGTCAAGGTCGTTCCAAAAATGAGAAATTTAGCTCTTTTTAAATTTCTTTTGTCTTTTAAAATATACCTTATGTCTATGCATCATTAATATAATACTTTTAAAACTGTTTCAAAGATTTCATTCTTGTCCCCTAACATTAACCCCTTAAAAGTTATTGTCCTTGTGCGAAAAACCTTGTTATCGCTACTCCTCCGAAACTGTAGACCGTAGAGACACCAAACCTTCACTAATATCTTAAGGGTCTTTAGGCCTAACTTCACTGTATGAATGCAAAAGGATCTGATGACCCATTATATGAGTTATTGCCCTTTAACTTCTTTGTACTTAATATAAAACCTTATAACTCGAAAACTATAAGTTATAGAAGCATGAGGTTAATTGCATTGTAACCCTTGACCTTTGACCTTGAATATTTTTCAAGGTCAAATGTCAATGTCATTTCATTTTTTTAAATTTTCATTTTTTCTATCCTTTAAGACAATTTTGGTTTCTTATTCATGGAATTTTAGTTTAAGGAGGCAGATATAAAACAAAATTAAAATTAAAAAAAGGTGGAAAGACCTCTTATTGTTCTGTGAACAATTAGTCTCCTAGTTATTAGGTCTTTCCACCTTTCTGTGAAAAGACCTCTTGAAATGCTTATTAGGTCTTTCCACCTTTCTGTGGAAAGACCTATTGAAATTGTTCTGTTTATTATTAGGTCTTTCCACCTTTCTGTGGAAAGACCTATTGATTTCCTTCTGTATCTTTTTTTCCTTTCTATTTTTTATTATTTTTCCGCCGTGTGATTTTGAGTTTCAAGATTTATCGAAAAGATTTTAAGTTCATAAGAATGTACTCCATAAAAATTTTTGCAGTTGACACTGCGTATATGAACTATGACCTCTTTCAGAGTTATTTCCCCTTTTGGAAAAAAGCTTGTTATCGCTACTCCTCCGAAACCGTAAACCGAAGAGAAATGAAACTTTCACTAATGTCTTCAACTAATTTACTAGACACTTCATTGATCAATTGGAAAAGTATTCATTGACCCCTTCAATGAGTTATTGCCTCTGGAAGTTTTTGAATTTTACAAATAATTAAAAATTTTCAAAACAAGAAGTCGTAGAGACATGGGACCAACTGCATAAAATTCATTGACCTTTGGTCTTGAAATTTATTGAAAGGTCAAGGTCATTCCAAAACTGAGAAATTTAGCTCTTTTTATATCTCTTTTGTCTTTTAACATATATTTAATGTCTATGCATCATTAATATGTACTCTTAAAACTGTTTCAAAGATTTCATTCTTGTCCCCTAACATTAACCCTTTTAAAAGTTATTGCCCCTTATACAAGAAATGCTTGTTATCGCTACTCCTCTGAAACCGTAGACCGTTTCGACACCAAACCTTCACTAATGTCTTAAGGGCCTTTAGGCCTAACTTCATTGTATAAGTGTTAAAGGATCTGATGACCCCTCATATGAGTTATTGCCCTTAAACTTCTTTGTACTTACTATTAAACCTTATAACTTGAAAACTATAAGTGGTAGAAGCATGGGGTCAATTGCATTGTGACCCTTGTCCTTTGTCCTTGAATATTTTATCAAGGTCAAAGGTCAAGGTCATTCATTTTTTTTTTATTTTCATTTTTTCTCTGGTTTAAGAGAGTTTTGGTTTCTTTTTCATGGAATTTAATTTTTAGGAGTTATATATAAATCAAATTTGAAATTCAAAAAGGTGGAAAGACCTCTTATTGTTCTGTGAACAATAAGTTTCCTAGTTATTATTATTTTTCCGCCAAACGTGTTTTTGAGTTTCAAGATTTATCGAAAAGATTAATAGACCATAAGAATGTACTTCATAAATGATTTTAGCAGTTGACCCTGTGTATTTGAACTTTGACCCTTAAAGGAGTTATTGCCCCTTTTGCAAGAAATGCTTGTTATCGCTACTCCTCCGAAACCGTAAACCGCAGAGATACAAAACCTTCAACAATGTCTACTAATTTAGTACACTCTCAGATCTATTCATTGTGAAAGGATTCGTCAATCCATACAATGAATTATTGCCCCTGAATGTTTGCGATGTTTACGATTATCAAGATCTTTTCTTAAACGACAATGCGTAGAGACATGGGGCCAACTGCAAAAGGTTCATTGACCTTTGACCTTGAAATTTAGGTCAAGGTCAAAGGTCAAGGTCATTCAAAATATGTAAAATTAAGCATTTTTTGTAGCTCTTTTGTTCTTCACCAAATTCTAAATATCTTCGCATCTTCAATATGTACTTTTAAAACCATTTCAGAGATTTCATGCTTGTCCCCTAAGATTGACCGCTCTGAAAGTTAGTGCCCCTTCCAGTGTAAACCCTTGTTATCGCTACTCCTCCAAATCCATAAATCGCAGAGATACAAAACCTTCAACAATGTCTACGACTAATTTAGTACACTCTTGAATCTATTCATTGCAAAAGGATTCGTCAACCATTTTAAGTAGTTATTGCCCCTTACAGATTCTGATGTTTACGAAGAACTAAAAACTTCTTAACGACAAGTAAAAAAGACATGGGGACAATGCATGAGATCTTTTGACCTTTGACCTTGAAGATTAGGTCAAGGTCATTGGGAAAATTCCAAAATTGCTTATATATGCTTTTGGGGAAAACGACCTTGACCTTTGACCTTCATATCTGACCTTGACCTTTGACCTAATGGTTAAATGATTTATTCATTACCTTTACCTAGATTCAGTTTCAAGTTTTAAACTCAAGTTTATCAGGTTTTTTTTGATGACCTTGACCTTTGACCTTGCTAAATGACCTTGACCTTTGACCCCATTGACACAAAGGTCACAATCAAGCTTAAGTATGTGGAGGTATTTTCAACTCTCAGTTTAATAAATCCTTATAACCCCCCCCCCCCCCACCCCCCACCCCCACCCCTCGGTCCCTTACAAAAAAATCAATAGCTATGTAGAAAAATTTTTTACAAGTCAAACAACACCAGAGATCGACATAAGATTAAGGATTTGAGTAGAAGACACCTTAAAGAAAGTGTTCTAAGAGTTTTACGGTGAGTCTTTTGAGTATAATGAAATTCTACTGATTATCGGCAAAAACTACATTTTTTTCTGCCTGAAATTTAAATTCTGATAGGCATAAAATGAATTAAAGCTTATATTGGCTATTTCTTCATTTGTTGTTAATATCACTCGATTCTCCTGTTCTATTACGACATTTTAATACCAAATATTCTAGCTTTCTGTAGTATGTGGAATTTATTTCAATTTTAATTTTGATCATGAAATTAATGTAAAGGTCAAAGGTCAAGGTCATTCCAAAATTGAGAAATTTAGCTCTTTTTTTATCTTTTTTGTCTTTTAACATATACAAACTGTCTTAGCATCATTAATATGTACTCTTAAAAAAACTATTTTTAAGATTTAATTCGTATTCCTTAAGATTGACAGTATTAAAAGTTATCGCCCATTGTGCGTGAAACCTTGTTATCGCTACTACTTCGAAACTGTAAACCGTAGAGGTATGAAACCTTCACCAATGTCTTCAACTAATAAAGGGGACTCTTCAATCTATTCATTGTGAAACCATTCAGTGACCCCTTCAATGAGTTATTGCCCCTGAAACTTTTTGAATTTTAGAAATAATTAAAAATTTTCAAAACGAGAAGTGATAGAGACATGGAACCAACTGCACAAGATTCATTGACCTTTGATCATGAAATTAATGTAAAGGTCAAAGGTCAAGGTCATTCCAAAATTGAGAAATTAACCTCTTTTTTTAATCTTTTTTGTCTTTTAACAAATACAAACTGTCTTAGCATCATTAATATGTACTCTTAAAACTATTTTTAAGATTTAATTCGTATTCCTTAAGATTGACCCTATTAAAAGTTATCGCCCTTTGTGCGTAAAACCTTGTTATCGCTACTACTTCAAAACCGTAAACCGTAGAGGTATGAAACCTTCACCAATGTCTTCAACTAATTAAGGGGACTCTTCAATCTATTCATTGTGAAACCATTCAGTGACCCCTTCAATGAGTTATTGCCCCTGAAACTTTTTGAATTTTAGAAATAATTAAAAATTTTCAAAACGAGAAGTGATAGAGACACTGGACTAACTGCATAAGATTCAGTGACCTTTGACCTTTAAATTTATGTAAAGTTCAAAGGTCAAGGTCATTCCAAAAATGAGAAATTTAGCTCTTTTTATATCTCTTTTGTCTTTCAACATATACATCATGTCTTTGCATCATAAATATGTACTCTTGAAACTATTTCAAATATATCATTCTTGTCCCCTAAGATTAACCCTATTAAAAGTTATTGCCCGTTGTGCGAAAAACCTTGTTATCGCTACTCCTCCAAAACCATAGAACGCAAAGACATGAAACCTTCACTAATGTGTTAAAGACTTTAGCCACATTTTTTTGTCTTAGTGCCAAAGGATCTGATAATGCCTTTTAAGTTATTGCCCTTTAACGCTTTTGTGCTAACTATTAAACCTCAAAACTTTAAAACTATAAGTCATAGAGGCATGGGGTTAATTGCAATGTGACCCTTGACCTTTGAACTTGAAAATTATTTGAAGGTCAAAGGTCAAGGTCATTTCCATTTCTTTAAAAATTTTAATTTATTTCATCTTTTAAGCCATTTCTGGTTTCATTTTAATGAAATTTAAAATCAAAGGAATAAATATTAAATGTAATTAAAATTCAAAGAAGGTGGAAAGACCTCTAATTGTTCGAGAACAATTAGTCTCCTAGTTATTCTTTTTTTTGTTTTTTTTTATTTATTTATTTATTTTTTTTTTTTTGGTTTTCCTTTTTAATTCAAATGACATGAAAACTTAAAAGAAAGGTGGAAAGACCATTAATTGTTCAGTGAACAATTAGTCTACTAGTTAGGTCTTTCCACCTTTCTGTGGAAAGACCTATTGATTTCCTTCTGTTTCTTCTTTTCCATTATTATTATTTTTCCGCCGTGTGATTTTTTGTTTCATGATATATCGAAAAGATTTATAGTCCATAAGAATGTACTCTATGAAAGATAATTGCAGTTCACTCTGCATAAAATAACTTTGGGCCCTTTCGTAGTTATTGCCCCTTTCGCAAGAAATGCTTGTTATCGCTACTCCTCTGTAACCGTAAACCATAGAGATATGAAATCTTCACCAATGTCTTCGACTAATTAAGGGGACTCTTCAATCTATTCATTGCGAAAGCATTCGGTGACCCCTTCAATGATTTATTGCCCCTGAAACTTTTTGAATTTAACAAAAAATTAAAAATTTTCAAAACAACAAGTCGTAGAGACATGGGACCAACTGCGTATGATTCATTGACCTTTGACCTTTAAATTTATGTAAAGGTCAAAGGTCAAGGTCATTCCAAAAATGAAAAATTTAGTTCTTTTTATATCTCTTTTGTCTTTAAACATATACTTAATGTCTATGCATCATTAATATGTACTCTTAAAACTGTTTCAAAGATTTTACTCTTATCCCCTAATATTAGCCCTTTTAAAAGTTATTGCCCCCTGTGCGGAAAACCTTGTTATCACTACTCCTCTGAAACCGTAGACTGTAGAGACATTAAACCTTCACTAATGTCTAAAGGGTCTTTAGCCCTAACTTCACTGTACAAGTGCAAATGGATCTGATGACCCCTTATATGAGTTATTGCCCTTTAAGTTTTTTGTACTTACTATTAAACCTTATAACTTGAAAACTATGAATCATAGAAGCATGGGGACAACTGCATTGTGACCCTTGACCTTTGACCTTGAAAATTTTTCAAGGTCAAAGGTCAAGGTCATTCATTTTTTTTTTATTTTCTTTTTTATCTATGCTTTAAGGGAGTTTTGGTTTCTTTTTCTTGGAATTTAATTTTTAGTAGTCCGATATAAAACAAATTTAAAATTCAAAGAAGGTGGAAAGACCTCTTATTGTTCTGTGAACAATAAGTCTCCTAGTTCTTTTTTATTTTTTTTTTTATTATTTTTCCGCCACATGTTTTTTTGTTTGAAGATTTATCGAAAAGATTTATAGTCCATAAGAATGTACTCTTTAAATAATTATTGCAGTTCACCCTGCGTAAATGAACCTTGACCCCTTTCGAAGTTATTGCCCCTTTCGCAAGAAATGCTTGTTATCGCTACTCCTCTGAAACCGTAAACCATAGAGGTATGAAACCTTCACCAATGTCTTTGACTAATTAAGGGGACTCTTCAGTATATTCATTGCGAAAGCATTCGGTGCTCCCTTCAATGAGTTATTGCCCCTGAAACTTTTTGAATTTAACAAATAATCAAAAATTTTGAAAAACAATAAGTTGTAGAGACATGGGACCAACTGCATATGATTCATTGACCTTTGACCTTCAAATTCATGTAATGGTCAAAGGTCAAGGTCATTCCAAAAATGAGAAATTTAGCTCTTTTTATATCTCTTTTATCTTTTAACACATACTTAATGTCTATGCATCATTAATATGTACTCTTAAAATTATTTCAAAGATTTCACTCTTGTCCCCTAATATTAACCCTTTTTAAAAGTTATTGCCCCTTGTGCGAAAAACCTTGTTATCGCTACTTCTCCGAAACCATAGACTGTAGAGACACCAAACCTTCACTGATATCTTAAGGGTCTTTAGGCCTTACTTCACTGTAAGTGCAAATGGATCTGATGACCCCTTATATGAGTTATTGCCCTTTAAGTTCTTTGTACTTACTATTAAACCTTATAACTTGAAAACTATAAGTCATAGAAGCATGGGGTCAACTGCATTGTGATCCTTGACCTTTGACCTTGAATATTTTTTTCGAGGTCAAAGGTCAAGGTCATTCTTTTTTTTTTTAATTTTCATTTTTTCTATGCTTTAAGAGAGTTCTGGTTTCTTTTTTATGGTATTTAATTTTTAGGAGTCAGGTATAAAACAAATTTAAAATTCAAAGAAGGTGGAAAGACCTCTCATTGTTCTGTGAACAATAAGTCTCCTAGTTTGTATATACAGTGTGTCACACTGAAAAGTGCATTAGGTAAAGGTCTGATTTTGTCCAGATGTGAAGTCCTCTCATACCTAAGGACAAAAACACTGAACAAAAGTTCACTGTAGAAAAAATCTTATTTAAAAAAAATCTTTTTTTTTTTTTAAATAAAACTCAAGTTATTGAAATGTTTTTAATTACATTTGTCAAAGTAATTAATTACATTTGAAAAAATCAATGTGATTGTAATTGCAAGTGATTGACAAAATTATCAATGTATTTCAAAGTAATTAATTACATTTCAAAGTAATTGACCCCAAGCCTGGACAAGGAGCAAGGCCTATTGAAAAAAAAAAATCATGTAGCTTGCTGCACAATAAACAAAATTGTGTACAATTTCTTCACTAAAATAGCATGTAATTATATTGTGTTTATCTTCATTAGTTCTAATTTGCTAACCTCCAAATATCTATAAATAAATCTTTGATTCAGGGTCATCAGTTGCAATTTTACACCAAACAGATGGAATAGTTTTTAATTAAAAAATCTGAATGGGTACTACCGACAATATTCATTAGAACTACCCAGAATACTTATAAAAACAGCTGAGAATATTGTTGAACTACTGAGAATATTTACGAGAACTACTGAGAATATTTATGAGAAAAACTAAGAATACTTATGAGAACTACTGAGAATATTTATGAAAACTACTGAGACTAATTTTTAAAGATCTACTGAGAATATTTACGAAAACTACTGAGAATAAATATTCTCATAAATATTTTCATGAGTCTAATAATAATTTCAAGAAAAAAGTTCATATACATTAAAAGATGTTTATTTCCTCTACCCAAAAAATGCTAGGAGCTAGTCAGTGTTGTTTGCGAAGTACTGACAATTTTGCGAAAAATGCTTATAATAGCTTTAATTTTCCACTTCGCTTAACCTCTGTTATAAATAAACACAGGACGAAAGACCACCTTTAAGCAATCGCGCAATGGTAGCTTAATGGTGACTTAAATTTAAAGAAGTTAATTCCTTTAAGCCACCATTAAGCTGCAACTTATAGATGCTTAATGTCCAAACTTCATTAAGCTACCTTTAAGCTGAGCTTAATGGTGACTTAATGGTCAAACCTCATAAAACCCCTTTTATACATCTTATATCAATTCTTTGAACTATTCTATTTTATTCTATTAAATCTGTTACTCGACTGCATTGCTATCAAGTATTGCAATTTTACAAGATTTTAATAATAATCGATAAAATGAATAAATTCAAGTTGTTATTTACGCATGATCATGTTATTAATTAATTTTTGTGGCTTGTACCGTGTACAAGGAATGTAAACTCTGACCTTTCTTAACATAGCTGAGTAATTTCAAACAATTTATCAAATTTATATTGCACTAAAATTTCACCTCAATTTTTTTTTTAAATTTTTTTTATAGTTATCTTTGTCAGTGAAATTTATCCACACCTGCATATTTTCTGCCTATTATTTCCCCATGCGAATTTTCAAAGCAAGCATGCTAACCGCTTCTCAGTACTTTCAGTACTTTGATTTATCTTTTATTTTTGCATCAGATATGGAGCAGTCCACCCTGGGAAATAATCCTGGGTCCCTTATTCAATATTCTTAAATTAGAAAAAAGTTTATACAGCATAATTGAGACCTGCTGAAATAATGAATAATATCTTGACCTTCTTCTCCTATTATATGTTACTAAGTGACCTTTATTTAATAGACTGTTAAAAAAAGAATTGTCGTTATCAATCAAAATTAAAAGGGAGAGGGTATTAATTCTTCTGTGATTTGACATAAATACATGACAAATTGATTGACTTATAATGATAATTACCAAAACATATCATGCGTAGACCACTCCCCCAGCAAACACAAGTCTGATGCTGGATTCACAGATACAGCAATACAGAACAGAAATAAAATATGACGCATGGGATGCTTTAAGGAGTTGAAAGTATGATTATTAAATGAAATGGGTACATGTAACAGTTAGCCCAAATAAAATGAATATCCATATTCAACTGTAAATTGAAGCTTCTTAACGTACACAAGCATATTCAGAAATTTTGTGTACCCCGCTAAAGGTAAAAAAAAAACGAATGGATCTAAAACAGGGGATAGGGGTGTGATCTACAACTTCCAATATTTCATTCTTAATAAATTTGACATTATCAAAAGTTTATACAAAAAATGTGTCTAGTTTAAACTTTACTAAGGAATTAGGATACATTAACCATGTCAAATCTGCCATTAACCTTAATGTATTGTATGTAATTTCCACTCATTCCTTTGCCAAATAAAGTTTTATTCAGGACAAGACTGACTAGAAGGTCACTAATAGATGATATCTTGGTTGAAGGGTGATTAACTCTCTGGAATTATTAAATTCAATTCTTCATTTTTTCCGTAACAAAATAAATACTATGGTTAAAATTTCTTACTTATCTCTCTTCTACAAGCGTATCTATCTTATATTTTTGTTTTTTCTTATTACATATACGCCTACTCACTTCCTTAAATAAATGTCATGTTTAACTTGCGTTAGTCACTTGTTTACTAAATTTAGTTCAATTTCAGGATATAATTTTGTTTATTTTCCCTAGATATTCTAAGGAATGATACTGTGGAGTGTAGAATGTTGTCGTTTTAATCACAAGTTTGAAAATTATCTAGAATCACTTTAAAACATGCAGTTTCATTATTTTTTAAGATAAAAAATTCTAAAAGACGTAGGATATATCAAACATTCCACTTTTATTTAATTTTCTTACTCAAGGAGTCCGTCTACTTGTTAATAAAAATTATCGTGTTTATTATTTTTTATTGATTTGTATTATTAGACGCAATTGTAAGTCCTTGAAAAAAAAATCATGATTCAAAATAAATAAATAAGTAGTTAAATAAATAGTTAAAAAATAATTATGTTAGTAATACAAAAAAAATGCCCTTGAAAGATATGACTAAAAAAATCTCAGAAAAATAACAAAATAAAAATAAGAATTTTAAAATACTCATTCGTTAATAAGTTTTGTTAATGTTAATTAAATATATTCTTACATTTCTCTTCCAATTGACTTGGCATCATTGAATGATCAAGCCCAGTAGTAAATTCGCTGACATCAGCTCCTCTGACAAACTCCTCTCTACCCTCTGGATCTTCATTGACGACCGTTTCTTGCATCTCCATATTTCCTGAAAGTAAATTTTATTTCTATCAGAACAACATTTTCAAAAACTACATAAGTGTGAAGTCCTATGATGGCATGATGACAATATAACCTTTAGTGTTTTATGAACAAGTTCTCTTATACCATATTCTTCAGTAGTAAGAAGGCTTACTAAATAAAAAGTTCAGTTTTCAAAACCTTTACAGAAATACACAAATCTTAAACAGCATACCTTCGTTTGTTGCCAGCAGTGGGCGTTCACAGTCAGGAACACTAGTAATATCATTGTCACGGTCTTCATTTCTGTTCACAATGTCCTCAAGTTCTTGTGTATCAATATCATGTCTTACTGATCCTATTACGGTATGGGATTGAATGTTTTACTTACATAACAAATTGTTTATAAACAATGTGGGGACGATTTGTTAAGTTAATTCATAAAACATATGACACATGCAGTAGTTCGTAATTCTTTATTCTTAAACATCATTATGGCAAAAATTTTCCGCTCTTGCCTTTAAATATGTAATGTATACATTGCTTAAATAACCCTCTCTTTACTGCAAACTAAATATTTTTTTTATTCTATGGCGAATTTACGCAATAAGAGTAATTAGCTGATCCTACATATAAGATAAAGACATTTGAAACGTAAAATATGTATCAATTGTAAACCATTTCAATCTTTCTGAACATTTACTTGGTCATGACAATTCTTAGGTACTATACTAGCATATTTTTCCACAAATACGTATTGAAAAACCATTGATTTCTGTTCACCAATACTTCATTTATTTATACACTTACTTTTTTATGGGTGTAAAAGCCAGATACATTATGTTGAAAATGAGTAGAGATGAGCTCAATATGTCTAGACCTTTGTTCAATATAAATTTATAAATGTCAAAAAAACATTTTTGTTTCTGTATATATAGAGTCTATAAGTCTTCATACCTAATTTTTTTATCCGTGTCTTGCATAATATGATGGAAACTTTTTATTAATTTCAATAACTTTTGATTTTATACGTCTCATTTTTTTTTTTTTTTTGCAATAAAGAAATTGAAAAATTGATTATATATTACATGTATTACTTCCTCAACACTTTTTTAACAAGAGGCCTATGGGCCACATCGCTAACCTGTGCACTAAGGCTAGGAAAAAGTAGAAAATGGTTTTATATTGTAAAGTTTAAATCCAAAATTAGTCCAATGACCAATCATGGATTTGCTTTTTTTTAGAAAATGATTTTTAAAGAATTTTCCTATATATATATATATATATATATATCTTTGAAAACTTTGTTCGGCCGTGGCCCTGGGGGTCATGATTTGAACAAATTTGAAACTACACTACTTGAGCATGCTTCCATATAAATATGATGAATTTATGGCTTTGTCATTTTTGAGAAGAAGATTTTTAAAGAATTTTCCAATATATTTCTATGTAAAACATTGGTCGGCCATTTTGCCACCCCCTTCCCCCGGGGGTCATATTTGAACAAACTTGATTCTACACTTCAAGAGCTTGCTTCCATAAAATATGATGAATTATGGTTTTATTATTCTTAAGAAAAAAAAATTTAATTTTAATTTTAATTTTATTTTTTTATTCTTAAGAAAAAAAAATTTAAAGAATTTTCCTATATATTTCTATGTTAAACTTTGGTCGGCCATTTGGCCCCGCCCTACCCCCGGGGGTCATGATTTGAACAAACTTGAATCTACACTACCTGAGCATGCTTCCATATAAATATGATGAATTATGGCTTTGTCATTCTTGAGAAGAAGATTTTTAAAGAATTTTCCTATATATATTTATGTTAAACTTTGGTCAGCCATTTTGGCTCAGCCCTACCCCCGGGGGTCATAATTTTAACAAACTTGAGTCTACACTACCTGAGCATGCTTCCATACAAATATGATGAATTATGGTTATGTCATTCTTGAGAAGAAGATATTTATAGAATTCTCCTATATATTTCTATGTAAAACTTTGGTCGGCCATTTTGGCCCCACCCTACCCCTGGGGGTCATGATTTGTACAAACTTGAATCTACACTACCTGAGCATGCTTCCATATAAATATGATGAATTATTGTTTTGTCATTCTTGAGAAGAAGATTTTTAAAGAATTTTCCTATATATATCTATGTAAAACTTTGGTCGGCCATTTGGCCCCACCCTACCCCTGGGGGTCCTGATTTGAACAAACTTGAATCTACACTACCTGAGCCTGCTTCCATATAAATATGATGAATTATGGCTTTGTCATTCTTGAGAAGAAGATTTTTAAAGAATTTTCCTATATATATCTATGTTAAACTTTGGTCGGCCATTTTGGCTCAGCCCTACCCCCGGGGGTCATGATTTGAACAAACTTGAATCTACACTACCTGAGCATGCTTCCATACAAATATGATGAATTATGGTTTTGTCATTCTTGAGAAGAAGATTTTTAAAGAATTCTCCTATATATTTCTATGTCAAACTTTGGTCGGCCATTTTGGCCCCACCCTACCCCCGGGGGTCATGATTTGTACAAACTTGAATCTACACTACCTGAGCATGCTTCCATATAAATATGATGAATTATGGTTTTGTCATTCTTGAGGAGAAGATTTTTAAAGAATTTTCCTATATATATCTAGGTTAAACTTTGGTCGGCCATTTTGGCTCAGCCCTACCCCCGGGGGTCATGATTTGAACAAACTTGAATCTACACTACCTGAGCATGCTTCCATATAAATATGATGAATTATGGCTTTGTCATTCTTGAGAAGAAGATTTTAAAAGAATTCTCCTATATACATGTATTTCTATGTAAAACTTTGGTCGGCCATTTTGGCCCCGCCCTACCCCCGGGGGTCATGATTTGAACAAACTTGAATCTACACTACCTGAGCATGCTTCCATATAAATATGATGAATTATGGTTTTGTCATTCTTGAGAAGAAGATTTTTAAAGAATTCTCCTATATATTTCTATGTAAAACTTTGGTCGGCCATTTTGGCCCCACCCTACCCCAGGGGGTCATGATTTGAACAAACTTGAATCTACACTACCTGAGCATGCTTCACCATAAGTTTCATTTTTCCTGGCACAGTGGTTTTTGAGAAGAAAATTTTTTAAAATATGCCACCAAATTTTTATTTATTCCCAATTATCTCCCCTTTAATGAGGGCATGGCCCTTCATTTGAACAAACTTGAATCCTCTTCACCCAAGGATGCTTTGTGGCAAGTTTGGTTGAAATTGGCCCAGCAGTTCTTGAGAAGAAGTGGAAAATGTGAAAAGTTTATAAACAGACAGACAGCTAGACAGACAGACGGACAGACAGACGGACGCCGGACAAAATGTGATCAGAAAAGCTCACTTGAGCTTTCAGCTCAGGTGAGCTAAAAAGTGTTTTTGAAGCACTCGTTTAAAATGTTGTCTAATACGGATTTTGAACTTTTCAGACCAATACATTTGGAACTGGTGGTATACTTACTAAGCATCTTAACTATAATATTAATGACGAACACTTTATAAGACTTCCTCTTTAGTTGAAAGTTACAAACTAATATCAATTGTTTTTAAGCCGATATAAAAATCTGAACACTTTTGAAAGAAAATGCATACTTTTACATTGATGTTTTCTCCCACACACGACAAATGTTATCAACACTAGAAGAACAATACTGACAACAGGAACAAGGATCCCCATGATCACCCCAATAGGTGCTGAGTCATCCTCCGGTGAAGATCCTTCCGTTGTTCTATATGAAAAAGGAAAAAGAAGTATTTCTGAAAACAGTAAACTTTTCACAGAATTTTAATGTAAGATTTAGAATACGCTTCCAAAAAATCTTAAGAAGTATATTTCACATTTTTAGAAATAGATTAATCTTCATATTTCAGAAAGGAGAAACTTCTTTGTAAAGATTTCGATAATTATGCTTTATAATCTATCAAAAGTGGATGAGAAATAATACGATTAAAACATGTGGGCAAGACAAATCATTACAGATCATGACCCACATAAAGGTTCCCTTAGGAGATTCAAATCTTAAGCATTTGCTCACCTTACTTTTTTTTTTTACATATTTCAGTACAATAGTTGTCATATACATGTATACATCGTATAAGAGAGACAGTCAGGCTTCTGAAGACCAAAGGTCTATTTTTATTATCCTTTTTTTGGGGGAGGGGGGGGGGGCAGAAGATGCAGTAATTGTGAACAGCTTTCAAACTGAACAAGAAATGTTCCCGTTAATTTTCTATGTACAAAATATATACTTATTGTTTATTCTTTAACTTATCATAAAGATACCCAGTTCATAATTATAACTGCCATTAGGATGATTGATCTCTCTTTCTCTCTCTCTCTCTCTCTCTCTCTCTCTCTCTCTTTCACCTTACGTGATGTTAGGACACGAAGGATCCGCAAAAAAGCATCGTTCCAGAAGATTCACTGCTTGACAAGCTGGGACTGAATAAAAAAAGAGAAGTCTTAGTCTAGATTCTATCAGATATATAGAAACACATACAATTTAGCATATACATTGTACAATTGGAATTAAAAAATAATAATGTGAAATTAATGATAACTCAACTGTATTTTTCAGTATATATTGCAGACACCTGCAAACATTCATTTTATCGCGCAAATTCTTAAGGTCATGTTACAAAGATTACAGTTGTCCAAAAAATTGAAAGCGATCATTTGTATCCCCCTCCCTTTCAAAATATTCTATTTTTCTCCTAGATATACTATAAAGGATATATATTTTTTACGCCTTGATATACTAAAGGATATATTTATCTGCATTTCACAGGAACTGCCTCGTAAGGGTAGTTTTAGGTGAAAACCTCACTGCTGTTACTTAAAAATGCAGGTGTGATATCTTATTCTTCCTCACCTCATTTATACTGATAAGGTTTAAACTCACATTTGTACAGGTCAGAGAGAAAGAAATGGTTATCGGGACATCCATCTGTGAAATTGAGACAGCTGGTTTGATCCAAATTTCCACTTTTGTAAACCTCTATACAGTTTCCTGCATGCAGAAAAATCACAGTGACTTGAGTACAAGTTTAGATAATTACAATTTTGAAGGAATATATGCGCAAGATAAATACCTTTTTCATAAAATCCAATAGTTGACTTATAACAGAACTCCACCAGACTTGTCCTCTGGTGATTAGGAACACAGACGTACTGACTCCGCCCATTCTCATCCACACCACACCCCAGTCTGGAAGCCGAGGTTGTGTACTCTGTCTTGTTACCGGGACAGGAGTCCACAGTGTAACCGAAGTCTGAGAAATTCATATGTGCCATTTTCTGAAATAAAATAACAAAACACCAAACCAAAGTTGACGATCGAAATGATACAACACAGTGTAATAAAGTAAGCACATGCAGGTAAAAAAAAAAGTGTCTTTTGTTTTGTACGTCTGTTATTTCCCTCTCCCTCTCTCTCTCTCGTTTTTTATTATTTTATTTTATTTTTATTTTTTTTTTTTTTGCTGGGATCCAATATCTTCCTACTGTTTGCCTTTTGAAATGCAAAATGAACTTGAATTCGATGTCAGAATTTTTGGTTGCAAAATTTTATTTCGATGACAGAATTAATACTGGTAATAAAAGTCTGTTGTTCATATTTGCTGCATTGTATTTATAAGCTTCAAGTGAATCAAAGTCACATTATTGTTGTCCTGTATGATAATGATTTTTATATAAAACTGTATATTTGACTGTCTATAGAAGACTTTCTTCTGCTTTATTTCTGTCTGATTGAACATAAAGGTTTAAGTTACATAAAAATTGATCATAATAACACATTTTAACAACAAAATAAAATTTTCAAAACTGCAGCTCTAATTGCTTTAACTTTTATTTAAATAATTATCTCCCTGAAAAATCGTTAGTTAAAAAAATATACCAATTTTTTTTTTATTTCAAAATATAAAATCTTTTTTTTTTGTGGGGGGGGGGGGGGCGTAAAAATTCTCAAATTAAAAATTATAAGTTTAAGTTTATTAAGCAGAACTCTATTAGAAACGGGCCTTTTCCTTTGTTAAAATGACAATCATGTTAATGATCAAACGCTTGAACATCGATTGTACCTCAATCAAAAGAAAAAAAAGAAAAAGAAAAAGAAATTAACAGGCTATATAAGTACACTCCGCCTAATGGTTATTTATCTGCATATCCCGTTTTGTGGACTATTTCCCATAATTATTGGAAAATTTTATTGACCATTTGGGGAAAAAATGGTTGTGTTCAGTTCCATAGAACATGTAGAATGGAATGGAATGCGTGGAATGGCGCATAATTTTAAATGAAATAAAATTTAGGTAGGCTATTTATTAGTGTTCTGAGTGAAAAAAATCGGAAATGCAACAATTGTTTTGCACCGAATCCTTTAAAACTTCGACAAAATGAATTTTGTATGTAAACAAGTGCAAAGTTTCTCCGTTTTTACTTAAAAAGAAAATTTCCTCCTTCTCCAACAATGCACATGTCATTCATGTTCTTGACCTTCTAGATTATTTCGATTATCCGGGGAACAAATGATCAATCAAATAATGCAAATCTCAAACTTCAGATTTTACTACTTATGTCCATTTAAATTGTGTCAATTTCCAATTAACAGGAAATAAAAAGAAAAATAAGTCTCTGCTTTTATTTCGTTTAATATTGACTGCAATTGCTTTGCTCTCTGTAAAACTAGTAAATGATGTTAGATTAAGTGTTACATAATTATTGTTTTAAAACGATGTACTTAGAACGAAAACAAGAATAATTGCAAAAGTCACTTTGTAAATCTTTTGATTGAAAATTATTTATCAAATATATTTAATTCAGCAGTAAAATGTATATCAAATCACTAAATTTTGCATGAAATATGTAACTTCATCCTAAAAGAATAATATCTAAAGATATTACGTTCAAGGCCAGAAAAAAATATCTTTATTATAGCAGTAAGTGTCCACCATATCAGTAAAAGAATGAGGAGCCCATGTTTAACGGTATTTTATGGAAATAAACATTGACGAAAACCCGAAAGGAAAAATTTAACTAATCAAAAGTAAAACCACTGGATAAACTAGAATATTTTATCCTACTACAACACATTTTTTTGATCGATTGATCAAGAAGTTCGGCAGTTACCAGGGACCTATATACTATTAGTATATCTAGGCCCCTGCTGTTACGGAGAACAATGGGTATCGTTTTAAGGAATTTTGGAGAAAATGTACATGGAATGTTAATTGTGCGATAAATATCTTCACTAAACAGCCATTCAGGCCCTAGTCAATAAAATTCGTCCACAAAATGGAGGTACATGTAAATGACCATGTGGTTGGGTGTGTCCAACGTGTTGATATCAATATTTGTTCAGAATATTAAACCTCAAGAATTTGCAAAGCTCTGTTACTTACATTTTCTTTGTGTTATTCTACATTTTGAGTGCTAACTTTTTCCGTCTCCCATTCTGTCCCGAGTTTTACAAATCTTCTCAATTCAAGAGCGAGTTCAAGAAGCCATGTTTGCCTACAATGACCAACGTTTCTACCACAGCGCATAAGTGCCAAAAATCCTTCGAACAATTAGAAGACTTGTCTGTATTTTTTTTATCCTGTCAACTGTATTATCTTTTAGGTGTCCAATTCGTTTGCAATCACCGTAATCACGTTTCAAGAATTTTACTCTATTTGAAAATTGTAAGTACAATTTAGAATTTTTGTTTACAAGTACAGTCATTTGGGGTATTCCGAATCACTGCGGGTTTCGCAACCCTCGGGACTTTACCTTATCGCTGTACTTTATACCACATCTTCACACGTGTGACAACAACGCAGTCAGCATCAACAAGGTACATATAATTAATTCCAAGAAATAAAATCATAAATACCATGCATTAATTAATTAATCAACAACTTAATTAATGAACTCGCTACATCCTTGTCGAAGAAATACCCTTGCAGAAAACGCAGTTTGACATTTCCCAGCGCTGTAGTAGCGGTGTTTTTGGTTGATATATGTCATATTTGGGTGACTGGAAAAACCCGAAACCCCCCCATTTTTGGAGAATACCCATACAGGAGGGGTGAAATCCCAATAAAGTGGTGGAAACCCCATAAAATTGAACGTAATGGGGTACAATAATGCCTAAGGTGATGTTTAATTGAATGATATTGACATCCGTAAATTTTTATAGCCAATTTTACCTCAGAATCGACGGAAATTGGGCGCCATTACGAGTTTACCGTACACCACGCCCGATCTAAATTCGAAGCGAGCTGTTTGTCAATATACATGTAATTGTATAGATAATATTAAAATAATTCATAATAATTTCCACAATTATATTTGTTTTACAATGATAATAGTAAAATATTAATTATGTAATAAGTATTTAACAAAAAATGTAAGGACGTTAGCCATTAAGAAAATATGAATTTGTGTATTAATTATTATTCCTATTATCCCAATGTTACCAGCTCTAGCCACGTGGAGGCCTCCTTTTTGTAGAGCCATAATTTAAAAAAAAAAATTCATTTAGGATATTTTAGAGAATATCTGAATTTAGAGATATGAAAATATCCAAAAGCTTCAAAGCAACATTAACAAAAAAAAAATAGTAAAGATAATTCATTACTATAATTCATTACTTATTTGTTACAAAGAGAACAAAAAAATAAATAAAATTCAAAATATGAAAATACTGAATTTATTTTTGAGATTTTAGACAAATTCTGAATGTAGGGATATAAAAATTTGAAATTCAAAGGTTCAAAGCAACAATAAAAATAATAATTACTTAATATATGTTAAAAATATGTTTATGTAATTTTACGCTTACATCAACTGACGGTACTACCACTATAGTTAGACCACGTACCTTAGGTAAAAAGATAGGTCAACAAAAACGTAAAAAAGTGGACAGGACTACAACTTTAAAAAAATCTAAAATACAGTAGATCAGAGGCCAATAATCAGTCAGTCTTAAACCAAAAAACAAAACCAAAGGTGTTTTTAAGATTGTATATTTATTATTTTTTCTAGAGTAGGGCTAGTATCAGGCAGTATTCCTCCCCCGCCAGACGGGTGCAGACCAGTGAATACTGTTTGGTGTTGTGTTGTGTTAGGTTAGGTTAGGAATGTTATTGTTTTTTTAAATGTTGCTAATTAAATTATAAATTCCTTTCTCTAAAATTTTTATTATGGTATTTTATTTCATGTATATTACTTTCATTTGGCTGTAATATTTTTATATATGAACAAAAGATTGAATAGGAATAATGATCCAGTATCTTTAAGTTTTTTTAAAATCTTTTTAAAGTTTTTTTTTTATTTTTTATCTTTCGGTCCTTTGGTTTTAATATTTTTGTTTCAAAATTCAAATCATGGCTCTACACTTAAGGAGGCCTCCACGTGGCTAGAGCTGGGAACATAAGGAAACTGTGAATATTTTCAGTTATTACTAATTTAAAAGGTCTTTATTTATTAATTTGTCATGAATTATCAAAAATTCATATTTTCCTTATGTGTGTGCTAACGTCCTTAAAATGAAATTCTGTAAAGCATAACTGTACAATTGAGAATAGTAAAGGTTCAATGTATATACACATGCCCTGCCAGAGGGGGGTTGGTCAGACTTGCTGGGAACCCAGGTGTTTAAACAAAAGGTGTTTATTATCAAGTTGACCAAGTGACAACAGCTGTGTATATAGTGCATGTACACACACAGGGGTGCCTGTCTATCCCAGTACAAAACAACAGAGCTAGCTGAGGTGTGAATAATATTCTCACAATAATGTTACAATACCAACTGTACAAGGATTCACATATGCAACATGCACATTTTTATTATTTTTTTATCATAGTTTTTTATTTCATAGACCTGGATTCTAATAATTTCATTGTAATGGATACATGTTGCTTTCTCATATCAATGAGTATATTTTTTTTCTATTACTTGCGTAAAAAACATAACAAAACAAAACAAAAAACAAACCGAAAAAAAAACAAAAAAAAACAACACACTCTCCCCCCCCCCCCCAAAAAAAAAAAAAAACAGAACCAAAAACATTAAAACAAAACATTATTAACTGGAAAATAATAATGAATGAATACTGAATTTAAAAATTAATTATTAAACATAGAAGAAAACATTTCAAAACAAACACCTTAATTAAAAATTAAATAAATTAACAAATTCATTCATTAGTTAATTTAATTGAATTACATGTTATAAATGATTGGAATTGAGAAAAATTACTTTATTCCTTGATTAATGGACTAGTTAAATTCATGAAAAAAAAACATTCAATTAAAAATTTCACTGTAATGTCTTTCATTATAATAATTACATTAACAGATTCATTCATTAATTAATTTAATTTAATTACATATTATAAATAATTGGAATTTATAGAAATGACTTTATTTCTTGATTAATGCCTTATGGACTAGTTAAATTCATTAAAAAAAAATCAATTAAACATTGCACTGTAATGTCTTTCAACATGATAAATATTTCATACTTCTTTTATATTCTTAAGGTTTTCTTACAAATAATTTTAAAAAAAATAATATTCATACATAATATAATATTCATATTGATCAAGATTACAGTAATTATTTCCACGGATTACTCGAAACGACTTCAGCGATCGCGAATTTAGATCGGGCGTGGTGTGCAGTATATCAAGACAAGAAGAAACCCGTCGATTCTGAGGTAAAATTGGCTATAAAAATTTACGGATGTCAATATCATTCAATTAAACATCACCTTAGGCCTTATAGTACCCCATTACATTAAATTTTATGGGGTTTCCACCACTTTATTGGGGTTTCACCCCTCCTGTGTGGGTATTCTCCAAAAATCGGGGGGTTTCGGGTTTTTCCAGTTACCGGTCATATTTAGTACTAAAAGAACGGCAATTTTATAAGCTTTTAAGAGCATTAAATATTTTTGAAAACACTTCAAAGTTACAAAAGTTATAATCACATTTGCAACCCCGTACAGTTTAAGGTATTTCGAATCACGCAAGTATACGTGCACTCAAAATTTCTCATCACACACAAACACAGGCTGATGCACCCTAGTTTGTAGTTTCATATGCCAAGGGAATAAAGTGAATAATATCTATTATAGACTAATCTGGGTTTATATGGACCTTTTATTTAAAAACAGTATTTCATTTACATATATCAAAGACACCTACTGTATATACGTACACTATACACACATGCACTGTATGACATGGGTGCACTTTATGCAGAATTTGATCTAGGGGCGAGATGATGGTTTGTCTTGAACTATTTTTAAAAAAAATGTTTTGATGTGGAAATGGGGGGGGAGGGCTTGTTAAAAAAATTTAATGAGTATAACCACCCTTAGCCAACCCCATTCACTGTTGTTGCAAATTAAACAGTATGTAAATATATTTGATGATTGTTTTGATATAGAAATGGGAAGAACTAAGAAACGCAAAGAAATCTGGACCCCATCTAAAAGTCCGGCACAAAGACTCGCAGCCAAAGTTTCCAGGAAATATAAATCGCCACACAAGACTGTTAGGAAAGCTTTATATCAGGTGAATCAAAATAAGTTGTCAATTAGAAGAGCAGCATTAGAAAACAATCTCTCTTTTTCTTTTCTCCAAAGAAGAACATCAGGAAAAGTAGATGTTGACAGTAAAAGAGGTCCAAAGCCTGTGTTTAAGAAAGCCGAGGAGGAAGCATTTGCAAATTATTTGTCTGAAATGGCACAGAGAGGAATGGGGTTACGTCCAACAGAGTTTCTGGACTTCGTTGAAAATATCATGAAAAAGGACAAAAGGGAAAATCCATTTAAAGACGACAGGCCTAGTTGGGATTGGTATTATGGATTTTTAAGGCGAAACAGTCACATAATTCAAAAAAGAACTGAAACACCTCTGGAAATCTCTAGAGCCAAGGTGACTGTGAAAGAGATTGATGAGTGGTTTGATAAATATAAAATATTTATGTCTGACAATCATCTCCTGGACAAACCTGAGAGAGTATATAATGCAGATGAAACTGGATTTACAATGGGATCCAAATCTGGTCAGGTGATAGGTCCAGCCAAAAAGGTAAATGCAGCTCCAGTTCCACATGTATCAGGGGGGAGGAGCAAAGAGAGAGTTACTGTGATGTACTGTGCAAATGCTGAGGGTACAATAATTCCTCCATTTTTTGTGTTTTCTAAGCCTAAACCAGCTTCCTATGACTTACTGGCTGGTTCACACAGACAAGCTCATGCAGAATTTACAGAGAAGGGTTGGATGGATGCAGAAACTTTCAGAAAATTTATAAAGCATCTTCATAATCATGCAGTGAAAGAGAGACCAATTGTTTTACTGATTGATAGCGTAGGGAGTCATGTTGACATGGAATCCTTTTCTATGGCCAAAGATCTTGGGATAGAGATCTACAGATTAGTGAGAAATGCAACTCACTTGATGCAGCCATTAGATGTGGGAGTTTATGGGCCCTTGAAAAAGAGCTGGTACAAACACCTAAGAGCCCATA